AAGACTCTGCCTTAATTTTTATAGTTATACTTAACAATGCTTGTTTCATACTTTATTTGCTTAAACAGACTTTATTTAATTAACCAATGTCTTTCATATTTGGTAAGATGGCAATAACATACCTGTGATGGTCCTATAACTAAGGTAGGAGATAGGAGTCACTGGACTTAAGGTTTTTATTATTTATTAATGAGCTGATATCTTTAATATTTAGTATGCAGATACATTTGGTGGTCCACTAACTTTCAATGGAGAAGTCAGCCACTTAGGTCAAGCTAGGTCACAAATGATAAAATAGATTTTCACATATTTTTCATACAGCCTTTATTTAATGACTGATATCTTTTATATTTTGTTGGTGAATACCTTGGATGATCCAATTACTTTGGGTGCAGTTAGGGGTCACTTGGGTCAAGGTCATCAATACATAAAAAAACAAACAGTTTTTTACACTTTAGCTCATACAACCTTTATTTACTGACCAATTGTTATCAAAATATATCAACACATCAGCAAGTTCGGGATGCACTTACTTCAATATTGTTATGTTAATTCTCCTAGTCCTTAAGGTAATGTTATAATCTAAATTTATCTTGTACTTTTTTGTCTGTTTTGTAAGTCTTAAACAGTTCATGCACATATACTTTAATGTATAATTTATCTATAAATATTAACTTCTCTTTCTTACTGAAGTTTTATTCTTATTCATTTAATTGTGTACTTGATTATTTTTATTTCAACTATTGTCACATTTCATATTAAATGTGTCAAACTTAAATTATAACTTAGATTAAATCTACAGATTAAATTGCAAAATTAATATATCCTGCTTAAAGGTAAATATAAAGGGATGTTAATGGTTCTAGGTGACAATACTTTTTATATGATCAGGGATTTTATGCCCTTAGGGAATAATTATAAGATCTGCCATCACATATCTTTTGAATATGTGATTGTTTTATTTCCTTTCCCTTTTTAAATGTGTCAATATCTTCCTTTATGATTAAATCTGCTTCACTTTCTTGTTTGTATATATACTGGTCAGAAATTCTGTGAAGTCATATTCCATCTTGACTGTCACAGAATAAAGAATTAATGTTTTTCAAAATTTAAATCTTGGATTTTTATTTATCAGGTATGTTGAGTTATTTATTTTTCTATATATCTGCTGTTCTTCATTCAATGTTTCACTGTAAGAAATATGTTTTATTTTATCTTAAGCTGTTTCTCTCAAATATGTTTTAATATATATATTTTGTAGATTTTTCAATACTTTGCATATTAAATAATCATTGTATTTTATAACCTAAATAACTGAGATCTTGGAATATTTCTTATTGTAGAAGTAAAGTAAAATGTCCTATAAGATAATGTATAAAGTTTAGTTTTGCTTTATAAAAAATGTTAAATCTAAGTTCTTTACTTAATATAAAGTAATTTGTAAATAAAATACAATTATTTTAGTTATTAATAAATTGTTCCATAAGTAATATTTTTCATATAATTTATATTGATATAGTTGATTTTATTCAATCATCAGTTTCATTTCAAAGCTATTTAAAAGTTCATTTTTATAAGTATCGGTTGATTAAGGATTTTTATCATCGACCAAGATCTCGGTATCTTCTCACATGCAAAGCGAGTTATTGTTAAATTCCCCATATCATGTATTTGTTAATTCAGATATTGCAATTACTAAATAATTATTATAATTATTTATAATGTATTGTAATATAAATATATTCCATCTTGACTGTCACAGAATAAAGAATTAATGTTTTTCAAAATTTAAATCTTGGATTTTTATTTATCAGTCCTCTAGTATATCTCCAAAAAGGGGCGCGCATCGAACCGGTATAACAAGTGGTGGGTAACAGTGGTGGTCGATGTCAGATCCAGTCAACCGATACTACCTTCGAAGTGGAGAATCATCTTCATCTCCAGTTACTCCAACCAAACTTCTAATGCGTAACCAATAAAAGATTTCCCTGTCAGCAGTCACAGGTCGACCGGTAGCCACTACTTCATTAATCGCAAGATCGTCTTCAAGACAAGGGTCAAGTGATCTCATAAACTTTCACCTTAAAGTATTTAACTGCATTGAAGGCTTAAATTCTTAGCTTAAAAAGTTCAAGCTGTTTCCTCAGTTTAAAACATTGACACTGTAAAAATGTATGAACAACTGCGCCTAGTCGATGGAGCCGGACTCTGGTATAGTACCGTGTCTAAGAAAATGCAAACAATTAAAGACTATGTCGTCTTCAAAGCGGCATACGATGACAACTCCAAATGGAGCACTAATTAATAAAGATGCAGAACATAGCGAGTAAATAATATTCATACAAAAAGAAAAAAAATAGGAAAAGATAAAAAAAATAATACAAAAACAAACAAACAAAAACTGCAAGTAATAATGTATATAAATAGTATTCAATATATTTTTAATTGTCTTATTCAGTCTTGGTAACGTACCACAGTACATGTTCCGGATTTCTTTTAACATTGTCATGTAAACAGTGTCATTTCATGTAGCAAAGCCAAACCTAACAAATTAACTTTGTTGTCTCATAGTGCTATAAGATGGTTGGCCACCATCTAAACCGGCTGAGCTACATCTATATTGTTTGTATCTGTCTGTGTCTGTGTATTTGTTTTTCTTATATATATTAGATGATAATTTCATTTTTATAAAGATATTGATCCCTCTTATTTTGTGTCACACGAATCATGTTGAATGAGTCAATCTCTTAATGAAGGTTTCTACTGCCATGACATAAGAATATGCGACAAAGTCTGGAAATTGAAAAAAAAAACATTGTTTTGTTTTGCTTTGTTTGTTCATTGAACAAACAAAAACAAGTCATCTCTTTGCTTAAGCAAGTGGACCCTTCTGCCCAGACTATGCATTGCATCAATTTGAAACTACAATTTCTAGTTCTTAATCTTGCATAAAACAAATGATTTATCTCGGAACTAATTGATAGTTCATTGTTATAATGTAAATTTGTCTTGTATATATTCATGCATATTACTGTATAATTTTAAATGCTTACATCTCTGTATATATTTCTTTTCCAGTTTCATTAATTCATTTAATTGTACAGGTATTTCTATTTCAACTTTGGGGACCAAAGTTAAGGGGGACTGGGCAATTGTTATAATCTAAATTTATCTTGTACTTTTTTGTCTGTTTTGTAAGTCTTAAACAGTTCATGCACATATACTTTAATGTATAATTTATCTATAAATATTAACTTCTCTTTCTTACTGAAGTTTTATTCTTATTCATTTAATTGTGTACTTGATTATTTTTATTTCAACTATTGTCACATTTCATATTAAATGTGTCAAACTTAAATTATAACTTAGATTAAATCTACAGATTAAATTGCAAAATTAATATATCCTGCTTAAAGGTAAATATATAGAGGATATTTGTTTGTTTTGCATGTAAGATTGAAATATAATTTCACTGAGTGAACACCAGATGCAATATTTTCACGAGTGGCGTAGCCACGAGTGAAAATATAATAGCTGGTGTTCACGAATGGAATATATTTCAATCTTATATGTAAAACAAATAAATTTTCTTTTTATTTTATGCTTTTTAAGTGATTTTAAGTTATTTTTTTACTGATTTTGCCGCGTAACGTCGCGCATTCTCCTTTGTGACGTCATTATATCATGACGTCACATCATCAGTTTTGAAATCTAGTTCCGTTAAATTTCTCTAATTTTGTTAAATTTCTAACATGATGTAGGATGACATTGACTTTCTTTTTCTTAAGAAGCAAAATTTACGTATGACGGCATTTATTTCTGCCTGTTATTCCATTTAGTTATGATTTTCTGTTCATCCGCATTCAGATATAGTCCGGCTACAGTGAAAATTATATTTTATAAATTTCACTAGTGGTTTATCAGAATATAATCATCTGATATATTACAATAAAACACCGGAAAGCATGAAATAAAAAGGGATGTTAATGGTTCTAGGTGACAATACTTTTTATATGATCAGGGATTTTATGCCCTTAGGGAATAATTATAAGATCTGCCATCACATATCTTTTGAATATGTGATTGTTTTATTTCCTTTCCCTTTTTAAATGTGTCAATATCTTCCTTTATGATTAAATCTGCTTCACTTTCTTGTTTGTATATATACTGGTCAGAAATTCTGTGAAGTCATATTCCATCTTGACTGTCACAGAATAAAGAATTAATGTTTTTCAAAATTTAAATCTTGGATTTTTATTTATCAGGTATGTTGAGTTATTTATTTTTCTATATATCTGCTGTTCTTCATTCAATGTTTCACTGTAAGAAATATGTTTTATTTTATCTTAAGCTGTTTCTCTCAAATATGTTTTAATATATATATTTTGTAGATTTTTCAATACTTTGCATATTAAATAATCATTGTATTTTATAACCTAAATAACTGAGATCTTGGAATATTTCTTATTGTAGAAGTAAAGTAAAATGTCCTATAAGATAATGTATAAAGTTTAGTTTTGCTTTATAAAAAATGTTAAATCTAAGTTCTTTACTTAATATAAAGTAATTTGTAAATAAAATACTATTATTTTAGTTATTAATAAATTGTTCCATAAGTAATATTTTTCATATAATTTATATTGATATAGTTGATTTTATTCAATCATCAGTTTCATTTCAAAGCTATTTAAAAGTTCATTTTTATAAGTATCGGTTGATTAAGGATTTTTATCATCGACCAAGATCTCGGTATCTTCTCACATGCAAAGCGAGTTATTGTTAAATTCCCCATATCATGTATTTGTTAATTTAGATATTGCAATTATTAAATAATTATTATAATTATTTATAATGTATTGTAATATAACAATATTCCATCTTGACTGTCACAGAATAAAGAATTAATGTTTTTCAAAATTTAAATCTTGGATTTTTATTTATCAGTCCTCTAGCATATATCTCCAAAAAGGGGCGCGCATCAAACGGGTATAACAGTAAGGTAACAAAGAGACAAACAAACATGCCTTATTTTGATCTATGAATAATTATATGAAAATGCATTCCCATGTTTAATAATACAAAGTTTCATCAATGCATGTAAAAGGTTTCACATTCTAGATAACTCATGTTAAGGATCACTAACACTAACCTGTAACAGTATTATAAGAATGTGGCTCCAAATTTTAGAAAAATGTCTGTTTTACATGACTGCTAAAATGCTTCAAATATTGTCAGATATCATTTTAATTATTTTTTCAAAAGTTATAACAAACTACCCCTAATACCAGGATTTAAATACAATGTACTCATTTTCAGTTTTTCTATAAAGTTACTGAATCTCAATGTAAATCCACACATTGTGCAACACTAGGTTGTATGGCAAATTTATATCTAATACATGAAGTTAAACCTTTTACCTAAAGCTAACATGCTGAGAGAAACTTTTTTTATCTAATTAACTTTATAATGATTATAAATATATCAAATCTATTTGACCTTAACATTTTTTTTGTATAAAATATATTCACTTTCATACTTGAGAACCGTATCATAATATTAAATTAAAAGAAGTTAACATACACCTTTACATGTATTTATTTACTCATCTTCTAATTTTACTCATTAAAACTTGCCCAATATGTTTGACAACACCTGGATCAAGAATACTATTAATGACATCAGCAGTGCTAATGTTTATGTCCTTATCTTCATCAAAAATAAGATTAATATCACCAGTATTTGTATCTCTTGAGTCAGAATGATAGTTATTTCTATCTATTGTTGGTTCTCTTTTAATATTGCTATGCATATTTTCTGAGTCACAAACTTTAATATTTTTATCAACAGCTTCTTTTGTACTATTCAAAACATTATTTTCACAATTATCTTCAGATTCCAGTTCAAAATCAAATACTATTCTAAGAAATTTTAGATATTCGTTGAATGTTAAAGATTTAGCTGCATAAATTTCAATAACAGATTTATTTGTCTTCACTTTTGAGAGACTGTATTGAGAACGCAATGAATCATCTTTAAGCTTTGATAATAAAGTTGCTTCTTTTTCTATTCCATGTTTAATATCTGTCTCAGGTCCTCGTCTGCTACTCATCAATTGATCTGATACATTACTAGTTTCTATCTCATCATGTATATCCTCTGTATCATTGCTCTTCTTTTCTGATTCTCTAGAAACAACATCTTTTCCTAACTCAGTTTTTCTTTGTTTAATTCTTATTTCATTTTGATCAAATGTTTTCTCCTCCTTAACTTTCGTATTTTCATATTCTGTAGGATTTTTCCTTTTTCTATGAAACGTTTTGGTATGTTGTTTATTTTCATGTATATCAATACCACAAAGACACACTACATTGACAGTATAATCCTGAAACTTGTCACAAAACTTCCGCCAGTTATTACTAAAGTTTTCTGACAAATATCTATTTTCAGTCAACTTATCTTGTTTTGTTTCAGCAGAGGATAGTTCAACAGTATTCAAGTCACGCTCATGAAAGCTTTGGCTAAGATAAGTTTTGACAGTATTCTGTAAGTAATGGAAATTAACATCATTACTTTGTAGCTCCTGAAAGTAGAAAAAAAAAACAAGCAAATTTAATGAACAGATATCTCCAGCTATATGACACAAATCAGTTCATTAAAACCTCTTCATTTTGATGTACCAATACCTCAAAATAGATGTTAAAATGAATTTGATATCTTTACTTATTATGAGACAAATCCCCAAAAGCTGAGCAGTGTCAGGCAAAATAGCTCTTATAGTAAATGGTATCCTTTTGCAAAATATAAAATGATATCAAATTATTATTCTGAAACTATGTTGTGTCACTTGGTCATTTGTTTCAAGTATGCTACTTAGAATTACAATTATAGGATTCAAGTGTAGTAAGGCATGCTTTCTTATATATACTAATATTCATTGCTTGCAAGCTATTCATCATAAAATAACAGGAGACAATAATTCAACAATACACATGTGAGTTATGATGACAATGACAATTAAGTATCACCATCTCTACATTAATATAAAATGTGCATTTTTAATTAACAAGAGCCACCGCCGGGCGGGGGCAACGCTTGACTTTTTACTTTTTCTAAACGCAAACATAGAAAGGTTTGAACATATATTAACGTTTCCTTTTTATAAATTTAGTTGGTCTGTCTTGTCACATTAGTTTTGTTTATATATTTTGTATATATATATGAATAGAAACATTAAGCATATTTCTAAAAATAGCAACAGTACGCAATTTCTTAAAATAGCAACATGACACAATTTTTAAAAATAGAAAAAATAAGGCAATTTCTAAAAATAGAAAAAATGACGCAATTTCTAAAAATAGAAAAAAATGACGCAATTTCTAAAAATAGCAACAATTTCTAAAAATAGAAAAAAATGACGCATTTTCTAAAAATAGCAACAATTTTTAAAAATAGAAAAAATGACGCAATTTCTAGAAATAAAAAAAATGACGCAATTTCTAAAAAAATAGAAAAAAATGACGCAATTTCTTAAAATAGCAACAATTTCTAAAAATAGCAACTCTGACGCAATTTCTAAAAATAGAAAAAAATGATGCAATTTCTAAAAATAGAAAAAATGACGCAATTTCTAAAAATAGACGCAATTTCTAAAAATAGAAAAAAATGACGCAATTTCTAAAAATAGGAAAAAATGTCGCAATTTCTAAAAATAGAAAAAATGACGCAATTTCTAAAAATGGCAACAATGCTGCAATTTCTAAAAATAGAAAAAAATGACGCAATTTTCTAAAAATAGAAAAAAATGATGCAATTTCTCAAAATAGAAAAAAATGACGCAATTTCTAAAAATAGAAAAAAATGACGCAATTTCTAAAAATAGAAAAAAATGACGCAATTTCTAAAAATAGCAACAATGACGCAATTTCTAAAAATAGAAAAAAATGACGCAATTTCTAAAAATAGAAACAATGACGCAATTTCTAAAAATAGAAAAAAATGATGCAATTTCTAAAAATAGAAAAAAATGACGCAATTTATATATATATATATATATATATATATATATATATATATATATATATATATATATATATATATATACGTATGTGTATATATATATACATGCATATATATATATATATATGTGCATGTATATATATATATATATACACACACACACACACATTTATATATGTATATATATAATACATATACTATACATGATTTATATATACATATTATATATACACACACACCAATAAATGCACAAATCTGAGAAAATTCAGTAATATAACCTTCAAGGTCAAGGTCATTAAAGAGCCCAACCAAATTTGGGTTTGATAAACAACAAGGTCTGGTCCTTAAGAATGTTCTGTTATAATATGAAGTTTATCCCTTCAATAATAGCAAAGTTACAGTTAGTTACCGCCAAAACAATGAAAATTTCAATAATTTGACCTTCAAAGACAATGTCATTAATGAGTGAAGGTCAAGGTCTTTCGGTATATTTTTAACAGTTATCTTTGAAGATTATTATGTTCAAGTTTCAAGACAATCCATTCAAAAATTACAAAGTTACAGCCAATAATAGCCAAAAAAATGAAAATTTCAATCATTTGACCTTCAAAGTCAAGGTCATTTATGAGTGAAGGTCAAGGTCTGACTGGTTATTTTTAAGGGATATCCTTGAAGATTATTATGTTCAAGTTTGAAGACAATCCATTCAAAAACAACAAAGTTACAGCCAATAACAGCATGAACAAGCAAAAATTGGACTTTTAACCTTGAAGGTCAAGGTCATTTATGGATGAAGGTCAAGGTTAGTGTGGTCTACTGAAAGGTCTTGTCCCAAGGGTTGTTGTGGCCAAGTATGAAGACAATACACCAAGAAATAAAAAAGTTATGATCCAGGTACAAGTTTTCGGACGGGAACGGCAACGGCAACGGCAACGCCGACCTGACTATAACAATACCTCTACTTTTTTTTTCAAAAAAAAAAAAAGTCGAGCTAAAAAACTAACATAGCAGTTCAATACATTTACATGAAAACTGGACAAACTAACTACAATGTATAAGCTTTGGATCCAGACAGAAAGAAGTACAGATGGACAATACCATTTCAATATCCCTCTTCCATTTTTTATCAGCCAAGTATAACAATGAACTTGTTGAAGTTTTAATAAACTATTTTATAACTGAAAGGAATATACTGACACATAAATTGATATAAAGTAAACTGATTACATAGTGTATAACTAACCCTGTTTTGTTACCTAAAATAGCGACATACATGGACATGTATATAAAGTGAATGATAAAATAACACAGATAATAATGACCTATGTTCAGAATGAAACTAACAAACTGGCAGGAAATATATCTGTATCTAAACATCATTATAATATGCAAATTAAATCAACAATTGTTGACTACATACCTCCCCTGTATTGAGATATGTTTTTCTCTCTGTTTCACTAAGTAAGGTAGTTGACAAACATGTATACAATAATCTAGTTACTGATTCTTCCAAATGTGACTCAGCATCCTCTATCTAAAGATAGCAACAATAAAAATATGAGAAACCTAACCTTTATGTAGTATATGTATTAGCATGAAAAAAACAACAATAGGTCAATGATGGCCCTGAATCAACACTGTACGATATGTTGGAAAATTATGAATGAATAGTTTTTATAAAGTAGAACAAACTTTGGTAAAAGGAGCACCTAAATAAGTCTAGGCAAACTTAACAATGTATCCATTAATACATTTGAATATAAAAGATTACCTACTAAAGTCTCTTTGAGCATACCCTATTGAACATCATCTAATCGTACATGTATATGATGCTACAGATTACTGAAGATAATGAAAAGCATGCATAATTCCAACACAATGTTATTTTTGACTACTTATTGAGGATGATGCATTTATCAATTGTATTGAGATGCTAAAATTGTTAATAGAAGTAAAGATAACCAACCACAGGAACCCATGTATTAATGCTTATAGATGGTTCCAAACATTCTACAAAATGCCACCAATGTCTTGGTACATAAAGCACATCCCCAGGCACCAGCTCAATGACATATGGAGTAGTTTTCTAAACAAAGAAAACATTTATTGAATAAATCTATAACAGAATAGGAAGCAGAGATATACAAGCTTCTAAATACATTGGTCAGATGAAAGTTTTTCCTGTATATAAAAGGAAGCTGTTTAATGCTTTGTTTGCTAAACATAAAATAGCAAACAGGTATCTTATTTAGAACCAACAAACAAAAAATTGCCTTGAAAATTAGAATGTCTATGTCGTAACAAACCACTCAGATAAAAAAAGTTTTCTTCAACAATCTATGTTTGACATAACTAATAACAGTACAAGGTTAAGCATCTGGTATGTTTCTTCTTAAAAGCTTTAATATCATTAAAAACATTAGACATTCCTTTTACAATACTGTTTTTTTTTACCTAAATGGCCAAGTGATTAAGTATATGACTTTGTGAACATGTAATTTGTCCCTAACAACAGTGAGTTGAATCTTGCCAGATAGATTGATCTTTTTATATGAAGTAAATTGCATAAGACAGGAACTTCTATGTCATATAACATTTTCAGTCAGCCATGTAAAGGTTAAGAACATTTACAAAAACTGCATTGTCACTTGCTTAAAACATTTATGAGGAATTGAAGTTTATCTTATAACTGTTAGAACCTACCTGAAACATTGGATGCCTCTTAAGATCAGGATATCTAACATTTACCTCACTGTAAATACTTGACTCTTCATATGGTATCCTTGTAGGATACATGCAGTCTGTTTGATTAGGACTGAACAAGTACCAACGTTTCCTAAAATATAAGACATAATTATCTTCAATGTAAATTGAAAATCTTTAAATATACTGCATTTCTAATTGTGAAATATGTGAACTTCTGCCAATCTCCCACAGCATGCTTGAATTCCATGGGACATTCTGATGAAATCATAGTCTAAAACAGTCTTCTTTCTAAATCCATAATTTGTCTGAAAATATATATACATGTAGTTATCTTTATATAGATGAAATATTACATGAAAATAATGTGAATTAATCTTTTAAAATAATCTGAAGTAAATAAATAAATTATTAATAAATGAAATCTGAAATAATTACTTATTCTGAAATAATTGCAATATTGATAAATGAATAGAAAAATGAAACCTGTAAGTACATAAATATTAGTACCTGCCTTGTATCTGGGCCACCAAGTTAAAGCCATATGTATCCTGATGACATGGTGTGTATGTACCACAACTTCCTATCCAGATTGTACTCTCTTCTCCTCCATGCTCTGTCAGGCCAAACATATCCCAGGAAATAGACTGAAATATCATACAAAAACATCTCAGGATTTCAATTAGGCAAGAATAAAGAACATAATATAATTAAAAGACTTGATGCAGACTGTTTATTCTTAAGCCATTTCATTTTACTATAACAACAAACAGAGTAATATAGCATTAGGCATATTATTTTCTTAAGTTTTTTAATCAATTAAATAAAATGTCTCTTTTTTTAGGACTTCTGCCAGAGACATTTCGGACTTGATACTCCTTTGTGAATGTTGCACAGTTGGAATTAATGGAATGTGTCTTTGGTTTTAAAATTTTTTTTATTTATCAGAGTGACCTTAAATCATTACACTAAATTTCATGTATGTAAACTTCTGAAATTCAGAACTTGAGTTATCTTTCTTCTTTTCTGACAATTCATTGTTACAACACACTTCAGGTTTTCCCACTGTATTAATGAAAAATCCTTAAGATTAATTTCCAACAAGATATCTAAACAGTGTAATCAATTATTAAATGCAAAATTTTACCTCTAATAGATGTGGTTGGTCTTTAAACATATCCTTCATGTACTTATAATCAATGTAACAGGAATACTTGGTTTTATCAAACAATCGGAGAGGGTTGTTCAAGTCTGCCTCCCCAACTAACCACTCTACATAATGTCTCATTCTTATCTTCAAATGTAAGCAGTCTGGTTCCCATTGAAATTCTGCAATAAAAATACACCTACAAACATAAACTTTGATGTTCCAGTGCAAATATAATGGTTGAGTTAAAGAAAAAAAAAGTAAACTCTGGCTTCTAATCTCTGACTTTAATCCATAAATTGAAAGAAAGGCAAACCCTAAATAATGAAACTGACAAAAACACTGCTTCATTACTCTAATGGGTATACAAAGTTAACAAACCTTCATGTTGTATTATTGATATTTTACAATCTAAAAGTTGGTCTCCTAGACAGTTGCACAAATATTCTGGTGTCCACTGAAGACTCTGCCAATCATCCACAGCATGCTTGAATACCATAGGACATTCTGATGTAATCATAGTCCGAAACAATCTTCTCTCTAAATCCATAGTTTGTCTGCAAATACAAGTACATGTATAGATATGTTACTATTTAGTATTAGTACTATTAGTCATTCAATTCTAGAATTTCCTTTACTTTAAATATAAAGTATGTAATTTTTAATATATTCTGGTTTTATTGAACTTTAATATCTTCAACATCAATATGATAATTTAATGCATATGAATAATTTGTAAAAAAAAAAAAAAAAGATTGTGTTTAAATGTTTACAGTTCTTGTTTAAATTTTAAATAGTACCAGTGATTTTTCTCACTTAATTAATTGGGAAGTGGCCTTAGCCTCTTGATTTTGGGAAAAATTATCGCTAAAATTGCTGATTAGGGAAGTAAAAAAGCTGGTTTAAGTTCAGATTTTGGGAAAACTGCATTATTTAAAAAAAATTCCAATTGGGACGAGGCCTTTTTTTCGGAGTCTGTTATATTAGAAGGAAAATCACTGAGTACCCATACATTTGCTGGATTAATTTTAAATGTGTTGCCACTAATATATTTCAATAATCTAGCCTCTACATGCATTTGATATAAAAAAATTTGGCTGGATAAGGCCAGTTACAATGTGCTGCTATAAATATTGATACATGACAAAAGATACTGATTGGCATATCAAAATTTACCTGGCATGTGTTTAAAAGAAGATTTTTGGCAATATGAGCACATGGCCACATTCTTGGTTAGACCACTGGGTCTAAACCAGGAGTATATATACATATATATACATGTATTCTATATTTATAGTTTATTTGTTCGGCACCAATATATGCCTTTTAAAGGCTGCCTACTTTTCTTATCTTGTCTTCTGAAGGTTACTTTACATTTAGTTCCTCATTCAGTGCAATTCAGTAACCTACTTTTGGCTCAAAATTCATATCTTTTGCTAATACTCTGTGGATATTGCATAAAGGTTAATTATCACCACTTTGAATGTGCTTCAAAATTAACTCTTTAAAGGCAAGTCCGGGCCCATAGTTACAGGTTTACTAGCCCATCAAATTGTGCGCTTTGGGGCTTTTTATTATATAAATGAAAGACAGACATCTATGTTATATCAGATTGTAAAATCAATTGGTCTTGCAGTCAAAATATTGAGACTACAGGTTTACTTTTTCTGCAAAACTTGTCGAATTGTAAATGTGAAGTTAACATAAAATTTTCGTGATCCAGGGAGTTCACAAGACGCTTTTATCTTAACAAAAAATAATGACAATTCAAGTCATAAAATTTATATACAGTACCGATAATTATAAAAGTGGGCCGAATGTGTACTGGACCGAATGTGTACTGGGCCGAGTTAGATTTCGGCCCCGGATTCGCGGACATGGAGGGCTATTTTGCTCAATAAACAATACAAACTATAACAATCATCTCACTTTTTCTCAACACCTTTGAAAAGGGCTAATTTTCTTCACATGGTTACAGTATTTTCATGCAATTTAGCCAATTAATAGAAATTGGACATTTAGTCCTCCGCCGGATGTTTACAAATTCTACATCCGGTTAAAATATATACTGAAACAAGTTTTCTTTACAGGTAACTTTAGGCATTTAAATAAGCTACCGAAAATATACAATAATAAATCAAACCAATATTTATATTTTAACCGTATATTTGTATCTATATAGACACCAGATCTGGTAGCACTATTAAAGTTATTCGATTCGGACTCTTAATTTTCGTAACAAAGGCTAAAGTCCAACTAAATTAATTTAAAATTATATCTGTTTTATTTGTAAAACATAAAGAATACCCATTTTTAAACATGTGTTTGTTTTTATTCAAATTCTTAACATTTAAAATAATATTTAAATAAAGTGATCAACACATAAAATGAAGAACCAACTTTTCAAAATGTGAAATAATATCAAGATTTCACCATCGTACCATCGCGCTTTCACCATCTTACCATCGGGCAATCATGTTTTCACCATTGTACCATCACGTTTCACCATTGTACCATCGCACCATCACAAACGTGCCAACACTCTTTCAACATCAACCATGGCGTTTTTACCATTGTGCCATCGTCATGATCGTGCTTTCAATATCATACCATCGTGTTTTCACCATCATACCAATGCCTTTTCGCCATCGTACCATCATGTTTTCATCAGCATGCCATCATGTTTTCATCAGCATGGCATGCCATCATGTTTTCACCAACATGCATTTGAGTTTTCACCATCATGCCATCGCATTTTCACAATCGTACCATCGCGTCTTTGTACTATCGCCTATCGTTCAGTATAACCAGTACACATACAGAAAGAGGTCAGATTCTGATAAGGCAGATAGTAAAATCAAGTTTAGAATACTTACTTTTTAATTTGAGTCATAAATAATAAAACCTGTCATCTTTACATTAAATTTTCCATTTATGTCATTATACTGTATACAGATCAAAGACTATTCAATATATGCTTAATATATGTTTGCAATTTTTAGCTCGACTATTCGATAAGAATAAGTAAAGCTATTGTAGTCACCCGAGCGTCGGTGTCAGCGTACGCATAACCACTTACGTTAAAGTTTTTGTAATACCTCAAATATTTTCAAAGTCCATTGACATATAGCTTTGAAATTTTCCACACTTGTTCACCATCATGACACCATGGGCCAACCTGTAGACAGGAGGAGGTAACTGTATCAAGCATTTTAACAGAATTTTGCCCCTTTTTCGACTTAAATTTACGTTAAAGTTTTTGTAATACCTCAAATATTTTCAAAGTTCATTGACATAATGGCTTTGAAACTTTGCACACTTGTTCACCATTATAACCCAAACCTGTTGACAGGAAAAGGTAACTGTATCAAGCACTTTGACAGAATTATGCCCCTTTTTCGACTTTGAATTTACGTTAAAGTTTTTCGTAATAAAAAAAAGTTAGAAACAAACAATTTACTTTACACTGCTCAATCAGGTTTCAGGGCACATCATTCATGTGAGACAGCTCTTACAAATATAATTGATAATTGGATCAGTGCCTTGAATGACGGCAAACTTGTCGGAACTGTTTTTCTAGACTTATCAAAAGCCTTTGATTTAGTAAACCACCAAATTCTTCTAGAAAAACTACCTTTCTACAATTTCTCTTCACATGCTATTAATTGGATAAGATCTTATCTATCAGACAGGTCACAAAAAGTAAATGTCTCGGGTGTTTTATCTGAACCAGCTGAAGTCGTTTCAGGAGTGCCTCAGGGCTCAGTCCTTGGGCCCCTACTATTTTTGATATACATTAATGACATCCATCTTCATGTTAAACAGTCAACTACTGATATGTTCGCAGACGACACTTCCCTAACTTCTACTGGAAGTACTTTAAAGGAAATGAATGATAATCTTCAAACAGATCTTGATAGTGTTAGCACATGGTGTAGGCAAAATGCAATGATATTAAATGCACAAAAAACTAAGGCCATAAATTTCTCTATAAAAAATACTAAATCAAAAAATACTGCTTCATCTACTCTGCACCTTCACAACAAAGAGATAGAATTTACAAACACTGAAAAACTTTTAGGAGTCCATGTTGACAAAAATCTTAAATGGAAAACACAAATTCAAAATACTATAAAAAAATGCAATTCACAGCTCTATTTGCTTCTCAGAATCAAACAGTACCTTGATCTCCACTCAAGAAAACTCTTTTTTAATGCTTATATTCTGCCACATATTGACTACTGTTGCACTATTTGGGGGAACTGCAGTAGTGAATTACTTTCACAAATTGTCAACTTTCAAAAAAGAGCTGCAAGAATTATTTTAGACAAAAGTTTTGATACCCCATCAAATGTTTTATTCAAAGAATTAAACTGGATGTCTTTTGACAAAAGAATTATGTATAAAAAGGCAATCCTCATGTATAAATCTATAAATGAACCATCCTTTCCTGTTTATATGAAAAATAAATTCCAAACAGTAAATGACAAACATGACATTTACTTAAGATCTATACAGAATGGAAAACTAACTGTACCTAAGCCAAAAACAGAATTTTTTAAAAAATCATTTAATTACTCTGGTCCTGTGGTATGGAACAACACACCAATACATATTCGAAATTCTGATACTCTTGAGGAATTTTTTTAAATTTCAAGCCTTCATATCCAATGGCAATTTTCTAACTAATTGATTGTACATATTGTTTCCAAAAACAATAATTTAATGTATAAAATAAAAGTATAATAAAAACTGTTATTAGAACAGCCCTATAAATGTCTAATTCTTCAACATTGATCTACTTTTTTGTACTTTCCATGCTGAAGTTATGAAAATGTCACTTCTCTATGTAAGAAGAAAAAAATGTTTACTTATTTATAATGTACATATTTTGTTGTCTAAATGTTGATTGTATATACTGAGGCCCGCATGGAAGATCGGGAAACTGAATGTGTTAGCCTCATTAAATAAAGTTGTTACTTACTTACTTACTTACTTACTGTAATACCTCAAATATTTTCAAAGTCCATTGACATATGGCTTTGAAACTTTGCACACTTTTTCACCATTATAAACCCAACCTGTAGAGAGGAGGAGGTAACTGTATCAAGCATTTTGACAGAATTATGCCCCTTTTTCAACTTAGAATTTACATTTAGGTTTGCATACCACCTAAGGATATTTTCATATTCTATTGAAACAAGTTGAAATTTTATACTCTTCTTTGAGAGCATAATAGGACTCCCTCCAAGACCTATAACTGTAACATGGATTTAAAGAAAAATCTTGTCCTTTTGTTATTAACTCAGAAAAATTTTACATTATCAAGGCTCTTTTACTATCAAGCACTAAGAATAGTCGAGTGTTGCTGCCCTACCGACAGCTCTTGTTTCGTTTGCTGTATTTAAGATAGCAACTTAAAACTTTATATGTACAGTGCACAAGGATGACAACTTTAATTTTTTAAAGTTTTGAGCGATTGCTTTTTGTTTTTTCTCAAATTTTTTAATACTAAGATATCAAAGATACGCATATAGAAAGGGTGCGGGGTTAAATAATGACAAGGTATACATTGTTGATAAAAATGTACTATTGCACATGACCACCGGAAGATGATGGCACCATGATGAAATCACGATGGTACGATGATGAAAACCCTATGGCACGATGGTGAAAGGCAATGGTACGATGGTGAAAACTCGATGGTACTAAGGTGACTGCCATGGTAAGATGGTGAAAGCGCCATAACATGATGATAGAAATGCGATGGTACGCTGGTGAAAACGTGATGGTACGATGGTAAAATCGTGACGGCATGATTGTGATAAACGTGATGGTACAAAGTGAAAACATGATGGGACAATGGTGAAAATGCGGTGTTACTATGATGAAAACAAGATGGCGCGAAGATGGTAAGATGATAAATATGCAATGGTATGATGGTGAAATCGCGATGGTACGATGGTGAAACTGCGATGTAGCATCACGTTTTCAACATCGTACTATCGCCCCATCGCGATTTCACCATCACACCATCGCGTTTTCATCATCATACCATCATGCATTGCGGGTACAGACTAAATAAAAAATCATGATTGTCTAAATGGAACACTGTATGTTTTTTATTTCAAAATTGAACGACACGTATACTATTTCATGTCTCATGGTACAAGACCACTAATATCCACTAGTTGACTTGGTTTTTCAAGGTAGAATTATTATAACCCAAATCTTTTTTACTTGTAGGTTGATGATTGTGGATGCTTTGACGAACAACCATGTCTAAAGGACAAGTTGTTTTGAAGAACTTCTTCATTTTTAACCCAACCTATGGCCCAAGAGAAGGGGAGGTAATAGTTGGATGAAATTTTTTTCAGCTTTTATGAATGTTTACCCCACCAATTAAATTTGATGGGGATTTTGAAATTGCATTGTCTGATTGTTTGTTTGTCTTATAGATCAGTTTGGATAATTATATTAATATATCTTAGAACTTGTTAGTTTAATTTTAATAAAGCTTATGATGAATGTATTTATGAACAGGGAATTAAGGCTCACAAAATGCCATCAAAGTCCACCCATAGAATTTTGAGTTTTAAAAATTTGTTAAGATTTTTAATTGGTTTACATGTAAATCTCAAAACAACATTGCCAAATAAATCAGAAATAATATTTAAATTATGTTCATTTCTGGACTATTTTGTATTTAATGAATTTGATAAATTGCATTTTCATTGGACGTTTGTTGACCTTTCAGTCACGATTAATTACAAAGTATACTTTGTCAAAATGTTAAAGTGTCATCTCCTTTAACAGGAACATTTTTGAAACTGGTTGAGTGTAAATGGTAGAGGTAGTTAAGTAATAGAAAAAGCATCGAAACACGAGGCTATCTGATTTGTACGAGGGGGCATAGCCCCCGAGTATAAATCTGATTGCCAAGTGTTTTGATGTTCTTTCTCTTTTGTATCATAGTCAAAAATAAAAACACGCTCCCTGATGTCACAATATGAAACCCCGGGAAAAAGTAACCAATGATGGAGCATCTGAATATGATATTTCTATCGCTATCCCTTTCTCTGTCGTCACAATATGTAAACCCCAGACAAAATGAACCAATCAATGGGCATGCTCTGGAGTGCGGGTAACTAATACCTGCACTCCAGTTAACGCACTGTGCATGTATATGTATACCATTTAACTCTGACACATTTTCAACAGAAAGGTCTCCAAACTATGATACAAGCTACATGTACTTGATCTTGATCTTGTGTTTCACTTAAAATATATTTGAATATTTTCTTTTTCTCTTAAGGTAATCATTATTTGCCTTTGACATGACAAATTAAAGAAAACCTTGTTGAATATTATAAAGTGATTAAATGAAATAGCTATTTGGTCATAGAGGGAAATATGATTTTCAGGTGTAATAAGTTTGATACTTTGTTGTCACATGATTCAGATTGATTCATATTATATGAAATATTAATTATCCACTATGATTTGTTTAAAATGTGTTACTTGTTTTATTTCAGGAACATAAGAAAATAATGTTTTATTTTCCCAAGAATACAGATATAGATACACAGATAAAAACTATAGGTCTTTGTGAAGCTATTGTCACATTTACACAGTAAGTGTAATTTAAATGATTTGCAGGTTGAAGCAAATTTGTTTTAGTTTGATTTGTTAAAATAGAATTAAGCCTTTAAAAACCACTGGGCTATTAAATATACATAGTATTATGTAAGTGACATGTAAATAAACATGACTGTGAAATTTTTGATTTCTTAAACTTTCGAAAATACAGTTCCAAGAGCTGAGTGTCAGACATGTTATTATAATTACAAGGCTGAAGTTTAATTTACTCTACCCTTTATTATTGGCCAACACTGTTAGATTTATTAAGGGTTTGCATGTAACTTCATTTCACGTTAATAATGAAAGTATTGGCATGATGCCCAAACAAAGCCAGCACATTGACCTGGCAGTGTGCAGATAGACTGTTCTTCTTGGGAGGATGCAGTCATTTTGGGGCAGGAGTCCCGGTTTGCAATTGACTGGTACTTGATGGTGCATCAGTGAAATACTTGAATCAGTTTGATGTTACTCCTATTTTACCATATTTCTCATTAGTAACAGTATCTGACAATATACATTGTATACATGTACATTACATCACACAGAAATTGCTTACACAAATTGTATTTTTTGTTGGTCAGTTTCAGTGATTATGTTGCCATTTAATCTAAGTGGAAATTTGTTTTGTAAAAACTGTATAATTATAAATCCTACATACTGCATGTGTAATTATGTGTATGTTGTAGCTAAATTTAACACAAAATTAAATCTATTCACAGTACATTCTCAGATCGACCATGCGAGAGTTTACATACACAGAAAACTAGGCAGCTTTTTTTTCAACCAGAGAAAGACTTTTGGATGGTTATGGTAAGATCAAATCTATTTCCTGTTTAAAGTTGAAATATATATATTTAAGTTGCCAAGAACAGACATTCATCAAAAAACAGTTATCAAAAATAGCAGGTGCTTGTAATTCCTAGACATGAATTACATTAAAATTATAAGTGTTCAAGACATGGTACAGTAAATTAGTTTATCCATTGTGAAGATTGTGCTTACTAAGATATGGAGGATATTGAATGAGTGTAGGTTCTATACTGAATTGATTCAACATGTTGAATAAAATATCATGAACATTATTAATTTAATAAGTTAAATATATTTAGTAATAAAACTATACAAATACAATATTTATACAACCACAAACCCAAAATTGTTTTAAAAGATAATTTTTCACGGACAGACTTATATTGTAAACCTTAACATTTAGTGTGACTTTACTCTATGTTTGTATGCATATGACTTCATGTTTGAATATATGCACATTTGTGTCATGTTTTTATATGCACATTTGTGTCATGTTTTCATATGCACATTTGTGTCATGTTTTTTCTTTACGTAGTTCCAAAAATCATACATGAGTCTCTACTATTTGATGGGTTTGAAGTTGACAGGTCACAAATTCTAAAATATGATATATCTACCTTTTCTGACATATAAGTTTTGACAGAATGTTGGGGTAGAGTTACATTTCGATGACAGCCTAAGCTTTAAGAGGAGTATGAACTAAGTGCTTAAAATTTATTTTTCTACTTTTCAATAAAGTTTAACTGTGAATTTTGTATTTTTGTGTGTTTATAGAAGTGGTGCCATCTGGTATATATTTGTACTGATATTATGAAGTGAGGAAAATTCTTATGTCTTGAATTATACTATATGACTAACTAAAAATATAATTTTATAGACAGTTAGTGTGCCATTCAGTGAGAAGACAAAAGAAGGGCAGTCATATATAGAGTACCATGAAGAGGATGTCCAAGATCCGGTCATGGATTCTATACTTAAACAAGCATATAGAATGTTTACTGTAAGCTTTATATTATCTTTTCAACAATTTTAAATTAATGTCACCTTCTTAACTCAAGATGAGTTAACAAATTTCTGAAAAAAAAAACAGATTAAAGAAAAGTACAAGTTTTAGATTTAGAAAGGTATTAAAATAACAGTTTAATGTGCACATTTACTCATAACAAAATTTTCTATTTACTATCATCAACATCAGTATGAATAAGAAATGTGAAAGCTGTAACAAAAAAATAAAATAAAAAAACAACATTCTTTGTACTTTCTTGATATTTGAGAGTGATAACGTTGGAAAACATAAAAACAATTTCTGACAACAACAACTATTGTAAAATAACAAAAGCATGTCTAAATGCTAGCAATGTACTTATTATGGTCATCTAATAGATAGTAAGAAAATTAGTTGAAAGTGTAAATTAAAGATGATTTAAAATGGTGAGTGTTTGTTTTTTTATACATATTAAAGCAAGAAAAATATGCAGGGTCTTTCAATGCATCTTTATATATCAATGTGTAGATAAAATAAGAAAGTTTTTATTTCAGTTGTTTAATGGGTCCATCTATTACCTATTAGAGAAAGTCAATGGCCAGACACATTCTTTACAACAAAGATTAGACCATTTCTTTTCTAGGGTAAGTATAGAAAATGATTTTAGTTTTGTTATTGTAATTGCACTTATGTTTGATTTCTAAACTACAAAATTTTTTCATTTCTTTTTGTGCTTAACTTGGCAGTTTGAAAAATAAACTATTAGATGAAACATGTTAATCATTTCAATTAAACAACATTATAAATATTATCAAGTATTTATGAACAGTAGGTTTTGTATTGTATTTTTTTTTAATCTTTATAATAATAAATTGTTATTTCAGTATTTACTAACTCTACGACTGGGAAACAGTGATCTATTAGATGTATTTAGTGGAATATCATTCCTACCATTGGATAAGAACACATACCTGAAAGTACAGTGCTTTATCAACATTCTTGAGTCAACATTCCCAGGAGTCAAATATACAGCTTTCTTATATAATGACCAGCTTGTATGGTAATAAATGTTTGTGTACTTTTAACATATCTTAAAAGAAATATGTATAAAATTAAATCAAGCACTGTTTATGGAAAAGAAATTAGATATTGTTTACTTACTATTGAAAGATACATATCCCGGAACATGAAATCTTCTAGTTTTCAATTTCTTCATGACTGTACAGTTATTAGACAACATGATTTAATTTTTTTAGCCTTAGTTGAAGCCAGATGTCATTTATAGAAAATTATGAATTAATGATTTATGAATAAATATGTGTAAATCAAAGTTTGAAGGTTGACTGCCAGAAATTCAAACAAATGTTGGAATATTTAATTTCTTTGCACTGACATATACATTTGAATGCACAGTGTATTTAGTGTGACATACTAATATTACAGGTCAAGTTTATGTACCATGTATTTAGTGTGACCTACTAATATTACAGGTCAGGATTAGAGCAGGATGATATGAGAATCATGTACAAGTACCTGACTACAAGCTTGTTCCCGGCTTATCTAGAGGCTGAACTACAGTCAAGTGGGCAACAACATACGTCACCCTCACTCAGTAGAAACATGTCCATGCCAACACTTGGAAATGTACATTTTGGCAAGTAAGTCACTCAGCACTTGATAAAAAAAGTTCCATTATCCAGATTTTTTTTTGAATAACAATGTTTTCATATGGTGATATCCCTTTAAACATGTAGCATAAATCTATGATGTTCTTGATTGCCATCTTTGTTTCAAATAAATCCTGATGTTATCACTGAGGTATTTTTAGCATCGATCTTTGCAGTGTGTTTTAGCTTATTTTTTAATGTTCGTTGAGTTTTATTTAAACATAGGCACATTCAGTATATACTTGTGTTTGAGTATATTAATATATGTCAAAAGTCTTGAATAAATAATGGTACAAGTTTGAGCATATGTTGAACTTTGCACATTTTGACTTTTTAAAAATTGCATGCAATAATTGTAGAAAAAAAATCAGCTACTGTAAAGTGTTGTATCGTTGTAACTATATAATAAAGTCAAGTATAATAACAAAGTCCGATATACATATATATACAGTTTATTTACAAGACTAGTAATATAAAGATATGATCAAGCGATCTTACTACAAGTGTAGCTGGTCAACGACTGACGGATAATTCCAGCCAGGTTACATGTATAGACTAGCTATAGTCTGTTTCAAGATAACAGTATGGTATCCCTTCTTTAAGTATTAAAAAAAAATAATATTCTTCTATTATCAGAAATCAATTCATAATTGTAATAAAGTGTAAAACAAGTAACACACTTTTTTTTTCATTAAGTAAATTAAATATAGATGTAACATTGTATGTAAGAAATGAAAAATATCTATAAAGTTTATAGTACATGTCAAAATACTAATTTGTTTTGATTAGAGTACAACAAGTGGTGTGAAAGTTAAAATGATCTGTTTATGATGTTTATTTCACCCACTGACTACTTGAATAGCGCTGATTGCTTGATAAGCTCCAAGCTTGTTGGATGTCTCTCCCTTTCTCATCTACCCATATTAGGAGATACGCAATTTTTTCTTCTTCTTCTTTTCCTTTCAACGGTCCGTTGAAAATTAATTCTGCATGCCTGTGGAATCTTTCCCATGTTTCAGGCAAATTAGAAATATCCCAGTCCATTCTGGGCGGTGTAATTCCCGACATGTCCATGTTTATCAATTATCCACTTAAAATGCTAATAATAGTTATTAAATCCACAAAATTTCTGACACCATGTTGTATCGTTGTAACTATATAATAAAGTCAAGTATAATAACAAAGTCCGATATACATACGTGGGGTTATCAAAAAATTCGTGGACTTTTTAAATATCTCTTGAACTTCAAGGTGTATTGTAATGAAAATTTATCAGTATACATTAAAGAATATTATGAACACATTTTGAAAGGAACAGTTAATTGTGTTAATAAATAATGCTTTTATATTGCTTTTAAACAAGCACATACACGGCACCCGGCGCACGGTAGAAAAGCGCAGTAAGTCATCGTATATTTCTTGCTAAAAAACTAAAAAATTGACGTAGAATACCATCGGAACATCGCATGTTTCTTCTATGATGTCATTTAAGTAATTCTTTAAAATAATGGACGCCATTTCCGTTTATTTTTGTTGATATCGCTAGAAACGCCAGACGCCTTTATTGTTTACAACGGGAAAATGACGGACACGCGGTAATTAGAAAATCGCACGATCATAAACAAACATAATCTTTTTTTGTTGTAATTTGGAAATGACACCTACAAAAACATTTAATAAAAATCAGCAGAAGAACAGAGAAAAGAAAATTTCACGATCATTAGTGTTAAAGTGGCATAAAAAATTTAGTGATGGACGTTACTTTAAAAGGCAGTAACCGTCATTGACTGCGTAACGTTGAAGCACGAGTTGTACGTTAATATTATGACGTTGACGTCAATAACTTTTTGGAGTGCGCCGCTGTCGCCGACATGTGTTTATGTAAAATTAAATATTGTTGTAATGTTAGAAGCTACTCACATGAATTTTTCTGTGTTTATTTGTTATTAATTCTGCTAAGCAGTGTAATAATTTCAAATTAATATCTCAAATATATTTTACGCAACAAAGAAAGTCCACGAATTTTTGGATAACCCCTCGTATATATACAGTTTATTTACAAGACTAGTAATATAAAGATATGATCAAGCGATCTTACTACAAGTGTAGCTGGTCAACGACTGACGGATAATTCCAGCCAGGTTACATGTATAGACTAGCTATAGTCTGTTTCAAGATAACAGTATGGTAAACATACTACATAAAGCACTTTTTAGTATCATTATTTTTATTCTTTATATGGTATTTTTGTATTGCAATTTTAAACAACATTGTAACACTTTTACTTGCTACTCCTTGTGTTCTTATTTTTTGGCCAAAAACCAAAATGCCCTACAATACAGAGATTGTACATGTACTATCAATTAATATGTGTACATATTTTAAGTTTTCTGCTTTCTTTCAGATTTATAACTGGCCCACCGAATGTACATGATGAAAAGAATATGGGAAAAATTCCACGTTTGTATATAAACACAGAATTTGAAAATGAGGAGTGTTTCCTGTTAGTTTACAGAGCATTGAGTGCTAGTGTTTGTTTACTACTCAATTGTAAGTTATAGAATGTTGCAAGGGGTGATCAGAAAATACATAGACGTTTTCTGTAAAATAAAACAATTTTCATTGAAGTTTAAAAATTTCAAACAATATGCAGTATCTGCTACAAATTCTATAAAAATAACTAACAAATATGAGATTTAAAACACACTACCCACAACATCCTAGATTAACATAATGAAGTCACAGCTGAGTCCCATTATGATGCCTTGAATAACAACAGCCTTACAGCTTGTGTTGATGTTTCCATATTCTAAAAAGTTCTACATGTGATTCTCATGGTGTCTATAATATCACAGATAGTGCATTTATGGTCTTTGTCAATGTAATTCTTCACCTATATGTTATTTTTGAAGGCTATCCAGGATGCTTATTGTCAAACTTACTCATTTTTCATTCTTTGAAATGTCAAACCACTTTAGGACTGTAAATTTTTTTGTGTATTTGCAATATTTCTACACTGCAAATATTTTTAAATCCATGTTTAATGATAAAATTCCACAGCCAGAAATACTTTTGCCTAGTAGAAAGTGTGTTGTTTGTCGATCAATCAGTCAAATTGTGTAGTTGATGTTAATTTATAAGAAGACAAAATTTTGCACCATTTTATAGACTAAAAACATTTTGATAATTGATTGTACCAATATATAATAATAGTGAGCTGCTACAGGCAAATTATAAGATTCTTGTGCTTAGTTGCATAAATTCAATTGTGCTTAGTGACATAAATTCAACAAATTTTTACAATTATAAATGAAATGCGGCTATTTTAAGAAAACTTACTTGATTTAACTATGCTTACAAATGTATATTGAAAGGTGTTTGACATCAAATATAGAAGCTACATCAAAAGTCTACATATTTTCTGATCACCTCTCATTGTGTCCAGTTTTATACTTTCTTTATTAAGTAATAAGGGCACATATTCATCAAAGTTCAACTTGACAGTCATTATGTTATATATCTTGATGTAGATGAAACTGATGTAATATGTAAAGGTTGCTCATTTAGATGATAAATGATGATCAATAGGTACCTATGTAAAGCAGGCGCCTGTCTTTTATTAATTGTTGTTTGATTTCATAAGCAGAATTTCAACTTGCTTTATGAGGACATAGGATGCATCGTTCTGTTTGTAGTTTTATTCTGAATCATATGAGGCATAAATAGAATTAGACACATTCCAGTGTTGTCATGGTTGATAAGACACATTCCAGTGTTGTCATGGTAAATTAAACACATTCCAGTGTTGTCATGGTAAATAAGACACATTCCAGTGTTGTCATGGTAAATAAGACTCATTCCAGTGTTGTCCTGTGAAATAACTTGTATAAACAATACAGTTTTGTCATTGAAATGGAAGCACTATTAAAGAACAAATGTATTTATGAAATTATATTGATTTTTAAGAGAATGTTATTTTCAGATGAATTCTAGTATTTATTTTTTTTATTTTAGAGTCTTATTTATATTTTCACATATATGTTAAGACAGAATAGGTAGATCAATTATGTATTGTCAATATTTATAATTATTGTTTTGTTTAATAGCTAGCACAGAAGTGAACAGTGACCTATGTAAGAAGCTGGACAGTTTTCTAGGCCAACAGTTATCTAACCTCGCCTCTGAGATTGGGGAACAGTATTCATCTAGGAAGCAACAGCCAGTGTAAGTTTTTATTCTGTTTGCAGGGCATTTGCCCCGAATAAAAATTTGGAACATTTTATTGAATATCAATGAAATGTAAAACATATCTTTTTTATACACATGTATACCAGTAAATATTCTATTAAGTAATGTTTATATTACATTGATAAATACAACATGAAGGATAGAAAATTTGTACTGCATACAATTGTGAAACAGTATGACACTACTGATATAGTAACAGTTTGATATATAAATTATGATAAAAATAAAGAAGGTATATAATAAAAGGATCATTATAAGATTATCTTGATCACACTTGGTGCTTTGCACCTTGTACAATCATTGCTTAGTAAAACATGAGCCAAATAGAAAGATCCAGATTAAGATACAGTGTACTAGAATAATAACACAGATATATTACTTTGCCTGTTTTAACAGAATTTTTGTAATTTTATTCTCAATTTCCCCTGGTATTTGAGGGTTTTGTGCATGAAAAATGTAAAAACTCTTAACTGATTTTATTTAGCTTGAGATCACTGTTTAGAATTAAGACACACACAAGTTTTTTTTATCAGAAAATGTAAATTTAATTACAGAAATATAAAAGTGCTGTTATCACACACCCTTGTTGTATTTGTTACTTCTTAAATTAAATTTGCCTGTTGTGTTGTATTAATTGTGTACACAATGACTGAATTATTTAATTCATGAAAGCAAAATTTCTCATTAATACCATTTTGTTAAACTTGTCTATTAAGTTCAATGTCATATGTATTCAATTTTTTAAAATCTTATTTAATAATATCAGTGTATATTTTAGTTCAGAACCTATATCTTAAGTACATCTATTTCAACCATAGTGTATATTTTAGTTCAGAACCTATATCTTAAGTACATCTATTTCAACCATAGTGTATATTTCAGTCCAGAACCTATATCTTAAGTACATCTATTTCAACCATAGTGTATATTTTAGTTCAGAACCTATATCTTAAGTACATCTATTTCAACCATAGTGTATATTTCAGTTCAGAACATATATCTTAAGTACATCTATTTCAACCATAGTGTATATTTCAGTTCAGACCCTATATTCAAGTACATCTATTTCAACCATAGTGTATATTTCAGTTCGGAACCTATATTCAAGTACATCTATTTCAACCATATGAATCTTGCTCAGAAGACCACAGTTCATGTTGAGAGTAGGAAGAGTAATGGGGTATATGTACACCAGGATACGCTCAAACTACTTTGTGACATCAGCTCAGATCTACAGAGGTACTTAATACTTTATCTACTTCTTTTCAGCTTTTGTTAAAATCTTGATATTTGAATAAAAGTGGAAGTTAAATATAAAAAAAATCTTTTAACATGTAGTAAGTTTTATGTTTTTTTTCATGTAAAAAGCAAGTTATGCACAGGCTGTTGTGAATCTTAAGATTTCTACCTTTCTGTGAAGGAATTTCAGGAAACATGTTTTTATTTTACTTAAAAACATAATAATCCAGCAAACATCAGTATTTGACATTAATTTAGTGAAAATATGATTAACTACTTTTCTCCTTCCGCTTCATAATGTTTTAACAATCGCCATTATACAAACCATACATGTATATGCTACAGTACATTTCCTCACATCTGTATAACTATGGTTTTATATTGCCATATTCTGTAAAAACTGTTCATACTTAATGTTCATCTTTCTTTTTATTATCCCCCGCCGAAAATTTTCGGCGGAGGATATAGTAATAGTCTCCGTCCGTCCGTCCGTCCGTCCGACCTTCCGTCCTTCCGTCCGTCCGTCCTTCCGTCCGAAATTTTTGTCCGGAGCATATCTCTAAAAGTATTTAAGTTATCAACTTGAAACTTCATAGGTGGATAGACCTCATTGAGGAGGAGTGCAGTGCACAAGAATGATAACTCTACCTCGCATGATTTTTGAGTTATTGCCCTTTGTTATTTTTCAAAATTGATTTTTGTCCAGAGCATAACTCCAAAAGCCTATGAGATATTAACATGAAACTTCATAGGTGCATAGATCTCACTCAGGAGGTGTGCAGTGCACAAGAATGATAACTCTTCCTTTCATAATTTTTGAGTTATTGCCCTTTGTTATTTTTCATACCTAATTTTTCACCTGAGTGGAGCATAACTCAAAAAGTGTTTGAGATATCAACATGAAATGTCATAGAAGGATAGATCTTATTGAGGAGGAATGTTGTGCGCAAGAATGATAACTCTTCCCTATACAATTTTTGAGTTATTGCCCTTTGTTGTTTTTTTCATGCTATTTTGTCCAGAGCTTATCTCAAAAAGTATTTGAGGTATCAACTTGAAACTTCATAGGTGGATGGATCTCATTGAGGAGGAGTGCAGTGCTAAAGAATGATAACTCTACCCTGCATTATTTTTGAGTTATTGCCCTTTGTTATTTTTCAAAATTAATTTTTGTCCAGAGCATAACTCAAAAAGCCTTTGAGATATCAAAATGAAACTTCATAGGTGCATAGATCTCACTCAGGAGGTGTGCACTGCACAAGAATGATAACTGTACCTTTTATAATTTTTGAGTTATTGCCCTTTGTTATTTTTCATACTTAATTTTTCAATTCAATTTTTTTCTCAAAAAGTATTTGAGGTATCAACTTGAAACTTCATAGGTGGATAGATTTTACTGAGGAGGGATGCAGCACACAAGAATGATAACCTACCCTGCATTATTTTTCAGTTATTGCCCTTTGTTATTTTCAGCCATCAGTATTCACATAGGTTTCAAATCTGTAATCACTATAGCCATCAGTTTTCATTACCAAAAGACCTCTTAAAATGGAATTATTCTGCTCTACTACATACACATTCTTCCAATGAGCAAACACATTCGGCGGGGGATGGCCATGTTGACATGGCTCTTGTTTATTTATTACATTTGTCTATGGCACTCCATGTTGTTTTACAGGAATAATCAAGATGGTGAAACATTTGTTAAAACAATGACAGATTGTTGGGTTGTTGGCAAGAAGTCCGACCAGAGAGAGATGGTTGTTGTTATTAACCAGAAAAATCTTAACCTTATTGAAGTTAATGGTTGGTTTCATTTTCAACACCTCATGTACCATTGATAAAAACATGTTTACTTTTAACTAATGTTTATTTTTTAGTATTTACTAATGTAAATTATTTACTGATATGTTTTTATGCCCTCACAAAATGGAGAGCCTATCATGGCAGTTTGACTGTCCACCAGTACTTACATACATCCTGTTATTCTTGTCTGATAAATGACTGAAGAAGGAATAAGTATGTGAAAAAAGATAACAATAATAATAATAAAGATTTTATATAAAGAAGCAAATAGTAGGGACACTGCCTGAGGTAGGTACATTGTATATAAACCCTATTGATTTTGAGGTCAAGGGTCAAGGTCACAGTAACACTGTGTAAATTCCTTATCCACTTAGTAACTTGAGAAGGAATAACCCTGTGCTTGTTTCACACATAGCCTGTATTATTTTGAAATCACCTACTTTGTTGTAAACTTTGCTAAAAGACTATAAGAATCTTACACTGGTGGCCGGTACAGACTTGAATATCTAGCTTGAGGTTAACTGTTTATGGCAGCAACGAGGCTCTGCCGAGTTTCCGCTAAACAGTTGCCCAAGAGCTAGATATTCCTGTCTCTACCGATAGCCAGTGTTTGATTCTTTTTCTTGCATATTACATATCAATTATTTTCAAAACAGAAATTACGAAAACTGATATTCTCATTAGGCATTTTTTTCTTATAGTAGCGTATGAACTTACAACTTCATTCATAACGATAAAAGCACGTCATCCTAATAATGCAATTCATTCATAAAAGGCATGCGGCAGTGACATCATTTAAAGCATGCGACTTGTCTAACATGGAGGATGTATGACAGGTTTTTCTAGCACCAGAGTAAACGGTAGATAATCCTGTCTGATATGCAAGAAAGTTAAATATGCTCACATGTTATTTTTTTGTTTCTTTATTTTTCAGATGAAGTGAAAAAGCTGTGCAGTTTAAACTTTAACAGTATCTTTTTCCAGGACTGAAAAAGTTATTTTATGAACATCTAAGCTGTGATACAAAAACATTTCTTAACACTTGGTTTCCAAAATCATGAAAAACTTCTACTGTGAATGCATAAATAGCTGACTATGTATAACAAATAGAATTCTGTTATTATTATTATGAAAAAGGTGATAAAGAAATATAATACATGCACTGTCCTCAGCATCAGATAAAATGGCTGTATAACAATATAAAAAAAGAGATTTTAAGTAATGTATCATTACTTACTTATATGATAGTGCTATTCTCAATTTGTTAAAATGTTTCCGGTACCTTGATCAATTTGATCATATTTCATTCTGTCTCTATTTTCTTCACTATTATTGAAATTAACATACAGTATAATAAAATGGCTGTTAATCATGTGCAATATAATGAGATGTATGATTATCATATATATCTATGAAATTAAACATTATTATATTTTATGTTGTCTTGCTGTTTCTAATGGCATTTTAATTTTGAGGCCCACATTAAAAAGATTGAGAAACCGAATGCTTAAGCCTCATTGAATAAAGTTGTTACTTAGTGACTGACTTGACTTGCCTCGCCTTGCATTACCTTGCCTTACCTTACCTTACATTGCCTTACCTTACCTTGCCTTGCCTTACCCACCTACCTACTTACTTACCAATTGTAAGTAAATATAACAGGGAGACATATAGAGAAACAATATTACCACATCAATACAAGATACTGTTTCATTCTATTAAAATTATTATAGTGATATTTGCAATTATAATGACCTTGATTGTTGAAAGTGACAAGTCGTATGTTATCTTTGCATTTGATTTCATCTAAAGTTGATAAATACTTTGTGAAGTTTACAAGCATTTTGTACAGTAATTTCTGAGAAACTTTCATAAAAAGAAGTCAAAACATCCTTTACTGTGTTTGTCAGTAAGTAGAAATATGGCAATAAATACTGCAAAGTTAGTCATTGCACATATTAACATGTAAAATATTAATTTAATCATAAACCTTACTTGTCTTGACAACTGGTACATTTTTCTCATGTTTGATTTTTTTTTAAATATTTTGACTCATCTGGAGGAATGTAGCTTTAAAGTGAAGTAAAATATTTTTCAATATAATCTTCAGGGTTATTTGATTGCCTTGCTTAGGCATGAATGAATATTGAAAACTAAACTCAAGTAATTGACCTCCACAAGATACAGTTTTCCTCAAACTTGAAATAAACCCCCTCAACTACACAAAGTGAAGGAGTGATTATTCAATAAAAAGGATGGCAGTCTTTTCAATGAAATACTTTTTCAACAACAACAAAAACCAACTGCTACTGCCAGGCTGGAGTAATGCTCGACTTTATTACTTTTTCTAAAAGCAAACAAACAAACAGTTTAAAACAAATCTTTAAAATGAAAATAAAAGAAAGAAAAAGTATTTTTCTTTTTTAACATGTTTAAATTTTAAAAGGTCTGTCTAGTCACACTTGTTGTGTTGTCCAAGTATGAATCTTTTCCCTTAATAAATGACAAAGTTAAGAAAATATAATCAAAATTCAATCATTTGACAGTCAAGGTCATATATATATATGTCAAGGTTATATCAAAATTATTCCACATGTAAGTTTTGTCACAAGTGTTGTTTTGTCCACATACCTGTTTGAATCAAATCCGTACATAGATAACAAAATAGTGAAAACTTAACCAAAATTTAATATATTGACCTTGACAGTCATTTAAACTCAAGGTCAAGGTCAGTTCAATCTGTTAGGATGTCCTCTCCAAAAGGTTGTTTTGTCCAAGTATGAAAATAATCCATTGATAAGTTACAAACATACAGCCAATTATAATGTAAATCAGTGAAATAAAATTATTTGACCTTCAAGATCATACATGTGTGAAGGTCAATTTAAGTTTCATATACATCAAGGTCCTGACCTAAAAGATGAAGTAAATCCATTTCTAAGTAACAACGTTATAGCCAGTTACAGAAAAAGACACAAGACAATATCATTAATTTGTCATTAAAAGTCAAGGTCAAGGTCACATCTACATTATTCAATATGTTTGTTTGGTAGCAAGTCTTGTTTTGTCCAAGTTTAAATGAAATCGGTACATAAATAACCAAATTATGACAAGATAACCAAAATTCAATAACTTTACCTTTCTGGTCAAAGATCATTTAATGATCAAGTTCAAGGCCAGTTAAACCTTTTTGAAATTCTTGTCCAAAATGTTAATTGTTGTGTCAAAGTATGAAGATAATCCATTTATTACCAAGTTATAGTCAATTATAACAAACATCAGTGAAAATTCAATAATTTAACCTTCAAGATCAAGGTCATAAAAGATCCAAGGTCAATTTGGGTTTGATAGACATGAAGTTCTTATCCTAAAGAATGCTCTGTTATATTATGAAGTCAAAACATTCTCATAATAAATTGATATAGCCCGTTATAGCATAAAAAAAAGAAAATTTCAATAATTTGACCTTTAAGGTCAAGGTCATATATGAGTGAAGGTTAACTTCTGTCCCAGATCTGACCCACAAATTTATGTGTGTGCATGTGATTTCCATGCAATTTTTAAGATTTTAGTAGTAAAAATACTTGATCTACATGAATCGGTTCAATTAAAGAAGTCTTTTAAAACGTACAGAAAGAAATGAAATAAATTAAGATAGATTGTCTCGAGTTTATTCAGATAATTGATTCAGGAAAATAAGGTAAATTTGTTTCCGTATTAAAATGTCCTTTTCGGACTTAACGTACTACCGTATCTTACTTCTGATTTGACAGATGCGTCACTTCCGGTTTCATTTCTGTTGACATTTGCAATACACAAATTGTGTGTTGCTAACTTTTTATTTTGACTGCTAAAAGATAAAGACAAAGATGTCAGGCAGAGGGGGAAAGAAGAAAGTAAAGATTTTATCAAAGTCTGCAAGAGCAGGTGTACTGTTTCCAGTAGCGAGAATGCAAAGATACCTGAAAAGAGACACTCACCATTTCCGTATCGGAGCAGGTGCCCCTGTGTACATGGCTGCAGTAATTGAGTATTTAACAGGTTATTATTGAATTAAAATGTATTAAAAGATTGTTACGATGCTTCGGCAACGTATTAATTTAGAATTTACATTAGGTAGACGAAACATTAATTTTATTTATACACAAGAGGGGCACTGAAAATTAAGTACAAAGGTGCTGACTTTCACTATTTCCTAAGGGAGAAATTAATTTTGTGTTTTGTCCCAACATGTTTTGAAACGTCTCTAGCTAGCAGTATTTAAATTATCGAACTATACAGAGAAGTCAGGGATTTGGCTTGCCTGGCTATAGACTACATGTGCGTATTCAAAAGAAAATGAAATTAAAAACAATTTAAAAAATATAGATTTCTATACCTATCAGTGAAATTTTCAGTAACTTTTTAGGCTTAAGATTAATTTTCTGATTTAAAAAAAATGGAAGCAGTGCATGAAATACCTAAAAACATTTTTGAAACGATAAATTTTATAAATAAAAATGAACAGAAAACTTTTTTTATCTGACTTCCCCATTCAGCAATTATATCCTGGAACAGACCCCGGGATTTAAACCAGAATGTATATGAGGTTCATTCCGTTTTCTATAGTGTATTATATACAAGTTTTACTTCTGAAATATACAAAGGGGTTTAATCCAGGAGATTGCTCCCCGTTTATAGGTTTTGCCTATATTCATTTTATATTCCTTCTTATACTTTAGTTAAAAAAAGATATTGAATACAGCATGATAATTTTTTTACAATGTTGCCTTCTACTTCTCAGTCAGGTCTGCTTATTGTTATCAGTGACAGGTGAACAAATATTTCTTACTTTGTGCTAATGATGTTTGCAGACAAACTGGAATTTAAAGTTGGGTCGCTTGAATTGAAATTCTACACTGATTGAGCTACCAGTGGCTGCTTATGCTTTTTCTTCCTTATTGATGACATGCAGTTCTTTATTTGGATACTTTGTTATGAAATATCCAATTAAAATTCACTGGAAACAAAATTTTAGTTTGCTCATTTTTAATATCATGAGCCTTTATTAGGGTAGAAAAGTCTTGAATATTACAATAAAGATTTTCATTTCTTATTCTAATATTAACTTAGTTTGAATTGTTAATGACTTCAAAATTATAAAAATGATATTTGATTTTATATTCAATTTACAGCTGAAATATGAACTTAGTTTGAATTGTTAATGACTTCAAAATTATTAAAATGATATTTGATTTTATATTAAATTTACAGCTGAAATATTAGAACTAGCAGGAAATGCTGCCCGTGACAACAAAAAGACGAGGGTAACACCAAGACATATTCTTCTAGCTGTTGCAAATGATGAAGAACTTCATCAGGTATAACATGTTTTTCTGTCTGTATCATTTATAACTTATTACCGGTAGACTCTTAGTTAGTTTAATTGTTATTTAGTTTTTTCTGACTTAATTGTTTTATAGAGTTTCAAACACACATTTCAATCTTTTTAGCATTTGTTCCAAACAGTTGATATGATGTAATGTCTTTGGTTTTCAGATGCTGAAACATGTAACGATTGCCTCAGGTGGTGTCATACCTCGTATTCACCCAGAACTCCTTGTACGGAAGAAAGGTGGTAAAGTTGTTCTTCCTACAGCTCCCAAACCAGTAGCAACCTCTAAACCAGCAGTAGTAGCAAAGACTACAAACTTAATGAAAACAACAAATAAGAAGACAAAAGCAGCAGCAGCAGCAACAACAAAGGCAGCAGATAAAGGGCCCAAGAAAGGGGGAAAGAGAGGAAAAGCTGTGAGTTAATAAAAATTTCTTGATAAAATATTTTAGTGTAGTCAATAGAAAGAAAAGTTAGCAAGATAGATTAAACTTGTTAGCTGTCCTCCATTTTGGCCAGTTTATCATAAATATCTTATAAGAAAGGAAATTAAAGAATGTAATAAAATGTATACATTCATGTTTATATTGGCTATACTGTGTGTAGGTTCTAATGAGAATATACATCAAGGGGAGTAGTGACCTAGTGGTTAAGGTGCCAGCAGTCTCAGCCCAGGGATCATGGGTTCAAGCCCAAATCGTTCTTCATTTGACACCAGTACTGGTTGGTTCCAGGAACCGGATTCCAAAGCAATATATATAAGTTGAAAGGTCTTGTTTCGTAATCTAGCTTAAATAAACATGTTTAAACTATAATTAGAATATAATTATCATATATCACTTAAACATTTTGTTTCTCTGGTGATCGAGTTAAATAAAATATCATTATAATTATTTTAATAAATCAGAAAGATATTTTTTAAGGGAACAACATTTTTTGTTATAAAAACATTAGATTATCATTGTGCCATTTTACTTTTGTCTATTTTACAGAAAAGAAATTCACAATAATTGTATAATATTTCTTTATATTTTATGTTTTATCACCCTCTATATTTTAAATCTGTTCTATTTAATGTTCAATGATTCTGCCAAAATTTGTTTTTTTATCCCTAGTTTATTTGTTAATAATAATCTGTGCACCACTTACAGTCAATATTACTGTTCTGCTTAAAACACAATATGTTGTGTGTTAAACCTTTGTTTGTTACAAAATTGAACCAATTTTATTCCGATTTTTTCAAAGAAAAAATTCGAACTATTGCTACAGTCTGTTCCTGTTGCAATTGCTGTTTCTGTGCTAAACTGGTCATTACATTTATATTTGCAAATTGATTGTCTTCATACTTATAAAACACCCTTTTGACAAGACAGTAGACCAGACTGATTCTGTCCTTTACAAATAAATGAAATAAGTGACCTTGAAATTCAAGGTCAATTTTTTAATTTTGCTTGATTTTTGCTATAATTGGCATAAACTTTGTTGTTTATGAATGGATTATTATCATACATGGACACAACGATCCTTTTTGTTAGACCTTGAAGCAAACCAAATTGATTATGACCTTTATTCATCAATGACCTTGAAGGCCAATTTGATTTACACTAGTCTTGGACAGAAGAACTATTATGACAAAACCTGTATGTTGAATTATTCAAATATGTATAACTTTGAAATATTCTGATATGGCATTGGCCTTTAATTGAATTGACTTTGATTATCAAGCACAAAATATTGAATTTTGCTTAAATTGTCATAACTTTGTCATTTTTTTACAGACTTGATTTACACTGTGAATAAGGAACTAATATGACCAAACCAACATGTTGAATTATTCTGATATGACCTTGACCTTTAATTGACCTTGACCATCTAAGTCAAGTTAATGAACTTTGCTCATATTGCTCAGGGTGAGCTTTTAGGATCGTTGCATGTCCATCATCTGTCGTCCCTCGTCTGTCGTCCGCATACGTCCACACTTGTTTGTTAACATTTATCGACGCACGAGCCGAGTGATCCACTGCATAGAGTTGTCTCTGATTTCTGAACAGGTGTCGACCGCCCGCGCAACACGGGCGGAAGTCCTGCGCTCCATCTCCCGAAAGAGCCCGGATACAGAGTCACGCATTCAAGCGCGGAGTACTAGGGGGGAGTCCCCTGCTCGCCATTTTGGCCGCAATCATCATCAAACTTTGTCAGGATGCTTATCTAGTTGATAGCTCGGATGAGTTCCAACATGGGTCATCTTGGATGAAAAACTAGGTCACAGGAGCTAAAAATAGACAAACCTTGTTAACACTCTAGCTGTCACATTTTTGCCTCAATCATCATCAATCTTGGTCAGAATGCTTGTCTAGGTGATAGCTCAGATGAGTTCGAACATGGGTCATCTCGGATGAAAAACTTAGTGAGGTCTCCGGAGCTAAAAATAGAAAAACCTTGTTAACACTCTAGCAGTCACATTTTTGCCTCAATCATCATCAAACTTGGTCAGGATGGTTGTCTAGGTAATAGCTCTGATGAGTTCGAACATGGGTCATCTCGGATGAAAAACTAGGTCACCGGAGCTAAAAATAGAAAAACCTTGTTAACACTCTAGGGGTCACATTTTTACCTCAATCATCATCAAACTTAGTCAGGATGCTTGTCTAGGTGATAGCTTAGATGAGTTCGAACATGGGTCATCTCAAATGAAAAACTAGGTCACAGGAGCTAAAAATAAAAAAACATTGTTAACACTCTAACGGTCACATTTTGACTTAATCATCATCAAACTTGGTCAGGATGCTTGTCTAGATAATAGCTCAAATGAGTTTGAACATGGGTTATCTCGGATGAAAAACTAGGTCACAGGAGCTAAAAATAGAAAATCCTTGTTAACACTCTAGTGGTCACATTTTTTACTCAATTGTCATCAAACTTGGTAAGGATGCTTGTCTAGGTAATTGCTCGGATGAGTTCGAACATGGGTCATCTGGGATGAAAAACTAGGTCACAGGAGCTAAAAATAGAAAAATCTTGTTAACACTGGAGTGGCTACTGTTTTGATCCAAATATCCTGGAATTGGTCTGAAAGTTTGTTTTGATGATTGCTAGGTCAAGTTCTAAAATGGGTCATCTCTGATGAAACACTAGGTCACAGGCGCTAAAAATAGAAAAATCTTGTTAACACTCTAGTGGCAACTGTTATGATCCAAGTATCCTGGAAATTGGTCTGAAAGTTTGTTTTGATGATTTCTTGGTCAAGTTCGAATATGGGTCACCTGGATAAAAAAAACTAGGTCACACTGCTCAAATATGGATAATCCTTGTTTACACTCTAGTACTCACCTGTCATGAAACTTGGTCAGAATGCTTGTCTAGGTCATTGTTCAGATGAGTTTGATGGGTCAGGTGAGCGATCTAGGGCCATCATGGCCCTCTTGTTTAATTTATTTATGGATTTGATTCATACTTGGTATACATTATAACAAATAGACATGATAATTTATTCAAATGTGACATTTTAAACCTTTGAAAGACCTTGACTGTCAAGGTCATACTTTTGAACTTAACTTAAATTGTCATATTGTTTATTAATCCTTAAATTAATTATACTCATACCGGGACAAAAAATAAACAACACTGACATGTTGAATAATTTTAGTATGACCTTGATCTGTAAATGACCCCGGCTGTCAATGTCAAATTTGAAATTAATTTTGTATAAGAATTATTTTTTTTGTTTTCGTTAAGTACTCTTTACAACAACATTTTTTCTTCAATGTGTTTTACATAAGAATAAGAAAAAGTCTAGTGTAGCCCTCCCCTGTTGGTTGTTCTTGTTGTTTATTGCTTGCATTACAGTTCGGCTATTTTTTTGGAAATGTTATCAGTTTTTGATTGACAGTTCTTCAAGTTTTAAAGTTTCATATTGAGAAACAGGTATGTATCATGTGATAGTTTGTCATATATGTAATTGTTATATATAATTTCAGCCAGCTTTTTTCAACTTGTAGGCCCATAAAAGGGGGTCCGGGGGCTTAGCACACAAGTTCAGATTAAAAAGAGCAAATTGCGCGTTCCAAAGTATGGTCAAGGAGATTATCAAAATAAATATTTTTAAACTATGAATCTGATTAGATGCAAACTTTACTGAGGATGGTAAATCATGCATAAGCCTAAAACACACTTAATTAGACCTTACGGCTTGAACACATTACCAATGCCACCCACGCCTGTTTTTATTGTATTTTTGGGACTTGAAAATGTCAATTTCTTAACCAACTTGTAGGCCCGGGCCTACATGGCCTAATAGTGGCTATGCCACTGTATATACATATATGTTCAAACTTTTGTCAAAGTATATATTTTTTGAGGTTGTGTGACATCAAACAATCATGTATTAGCATGTAGTCTATTTTGAAATATTCCACAATATTTACCACTAATTATTCAATTTTAAGAATTCAACCTGAAATTACTCTCAATTACTTATTTATAAAAATGCTACTTATTAAGCTGCAACTATTATCACTGCAACTGTTAAGAAGTATCATCAATTATTAAGTTGTATATGTGATTTGTCTCATTTAGTGTCTTCTTGATGACTTAGATTAAACAAAGCTTTAATGAAAATAGGGGATACATAAATTGTAAAAGACAGCAAAGACATGAATGTAATAAATGAAATTTATGGCTGTATTTGAGTCCATGCATGATCTGTACTGGTAAATTGAGCAGAGTCTTGGCCTTTAATGGCACCTGATCTTACCAGTAAAAAGCATTATTTAAGATGTAGAATTAAGACACAATCATTCTAGTTTTGAGTAATAAATTAAATTAATTGGTGAGTGGTTAAATGTATTCAATCATCTATTTTGAATAACTAGGGATAAATGATAAAAGAACATCAAACAAGAAAGAAATTTGTCCATTTTTAGAAAGTGAAAATATGTTATATGCTTATCACCTGAAAAAAGGAGTGCTGAATATGTAATTATTTGTCATAAAGGTACTTGATGTGAAAGAAGTGTTATGGTGTTTTGACTTCCATACACAATTTATATATGCAGATTTTGAAAGAACCCCCCCCCCCCCCATTGATTTATTTGAATTATTCTTTCAGGAAACATGATATTTGATATACAAAAATAATAATGTGTACTGTTATTTTCAAAATGAAAATGGCTCCAATATTTTGATACGAGTACTATAGTATTACATTAAACATGAATGTCTGTACATTTGAATACTCAATGTTTAAACAAAGTATAAAATTCTGTAAACTGAAGTGTTTTCTTTTTCAGATGATAACATGACAAGTCTTCCTCAGTATATTAAGAAGGATACAACAGGACCAAAGTGATATAAATATAGGGATTAGAGATGTGTTTTTGTGGGAAACTGAAATAATTGTATTATAAAAGATAATAGTGTTAAAATACATGTACTGTTAATAAGTGATGACGGTTGATACTTTGGCTTAAAACAATACCTTTAAACTAAAGAAACATGTACATCACTGGACAGATGGACTGATTTACAGTATATCTATCACTGTATTGTGTCTAAGTTTTGTTATACACATTTGTCATACAATGTAATGCATATCTGACAGTCATAAATGATTAGAATTTAACAACTATTGTGTAACAAGATTTAAGACTTTAAGTAAACTTTAAGTCTACATTTGTAATGAATCCTGTATAAAGATTTTAGAATATTTTCAGATACCTTTTTGTTCTCTCAGAAGAAACCATTTTTGTATTTTTACAAGTCTTTTCAATAGTTGACTTTAATAGACTAGATTACATCTAGAGGTATAAAAAAGTCACAGCGGTAGTTTTTGAGTATGAGAACAATAATTCTTATATAGAAATTTATAGTGTCACAACTGCTATAGATACAACATATATTTTACACATGGTTCTGTTAAAAACAAAGTTTGAAGTAAGTATACATTATTGATAGTTTCAAGAATGTTTTTGTTACTGGTTATTTTTAAGAATATAATGTTTTGTTTAGTTTAATTATTTTATTTTAGACTGTAATATGGATGTAGTGTCAGAGTATGATGCCTAATGTTGAAAAAGAAAATAAATGATTTGAAGTAGTTGTTCTTTTGTTGTTTATCGCCACTGTAGGTAGTTATTTTTAAAATATGATATCCACTTATTTATAAATCTAAAAGAATTGGTCTGAAACTCAAGACTTGTTTCTGTCATCCTCTATGAATTTTCTTTTCATTGTTTAAAATAAATCGATGTGTTCCACCAGGTTATGTATTGTCCATTTTGTTTTACCCTAGCTTGATTATGTAAGAGAATGACATTAGCTGAATTTTGTTGCTAGTCTAGATTGTAACAGTCTTATCTGAGCAGTTTTTCATTATCCCTCATGTACAGACTAAACCAAACCGAGTCTGCAATTTTCATGTATTTTTGCTGTTTTTAATGCTTCCAAGGGATCTTATTTTTTCCAGATATTTATCATAATAAACATTATAATATTTTAAATAGTACTATATATCTAAATTCTTAACTGAAATGCTATAATATTACAGGCAGCAAGTGATAACACTGATTCAGCACCAGCAGCTAAAGGAACAACAGCTGGCGGCTTCACAATACTTCATGAGAAAAAACTCTTCCTAGGACAAAAGGTAAAACTTGTATGCCATTTATCATCGAATGAACAAGAATTATACTATCTGTCACTTGTATCCTGTTAAAAGGAAAAAAATATTACCATTTTGAAAATCCAGTTTGTTAAATATTTTTTGTATCTTACAATTTTTTCAAAAGTGTTAATGACTATTTAAAACATGTACACATTGATAACATAGTTTGATTGTAAAGACATGGGTAATAGCTACACCCTGATGTGTTTGTCAGCATTAATTCAGAAATATTTTAATGAATATTTAGCATACAAACATAAAACACTATATTGTGGTTATATTGTCTACAGATTACAAATTATATTGTCATAGAAATGATGGTTTATGATTATAGTTGACAGTATTACAAGGTGATATCGTCAAGGTTACAGCTGATGCCATTGTTCACCCAACTAGCAGCAATTTCTACATGGGAGGAGAAGTTGGTAAGATTATTATTCTTGTGAAACTTTCTGATATATAAATCCTAGAGTTTGTAAATAGTGTGTAAATAGTATAAATAGAACCATGAAAAAAATTGTTAGGAATTGTTTATTGCTACACACATGTTTTGTTTGTTTTAAGAAAACTGATTCATCCTGAAGATTATATCATATACAAATATCTCAAATCATAGATTTTCTATTGACATTATAAACAGCTGTTACTACTTACATTTGAGTGCAAAAATATAATATTGAGATGAATTATAAATGTACCAAAGGGAGACCAGACAGTATTGTATATGTGTTTTGACTTACTATTCCATTTAGCAATATGATATTTGAATACAAAATACACAGAATATTAAAGAAATATAATTTGTTTAGGTTCAGCATTGAAGAAAGCAGGTGGTAATGAGTTCCAGGATGAAATAAAGTCACTGCAATCAACACATGGTTCACTAGACACTGCTAGTGGTATGTTCATTATCCAATCAAATTATGTACAAAATGTTCAATAATGTGTTACTTATTTGCTTTGAGAAAAAAATTAAAAAAGTTAAAGGGCTCTTTTCTATTTCTGAATGGCTAAATGCTAGGTAAAATTATTAGATAAAATAAAAAGGGTTGTGGAAAATGTGGCAATTTTTCAGTGACATTGCACCTATAGTAATGTGCATACATATTTAACCATGACATCATGTTTGATGTAAAGTTGTTATTAGCAGTCAGTTGATAAAGAAACAAACACATTTTCTCAATTATGTTAATAAGAATGAAACATCCATATTGATATTATTATTTTAGTGTGTACTCGATATATTAAGTGTTATGGTGTAGGAACCTTATAGCTTAAAGACACACCATGATCACCATCAGATCTGTTCCTGGAACCAATCAGTACTGAGCAATGAGCGTAAAGGTTATTGTTCAAGGAAACCATTGCTCGCCCCTGATGGGGTTTGAACCCTCGCAGATAGTGATCCTTAGATTAATATTATCTGACACCATAACCACATGCTCATGCAACCACATAAATTTACACATATATTATTTTGTACCATGTATTCAAGTGTAAGGAAATACTGATAAATATGCTGTGAATATAAACTTTCATCATAATAATAAGTTTTCTGGACATTGTTTTCAGGCGTTGTTTAAGTGTTTTCAAAAAAAGTGCACTATTATTCGGATATAACATTCTAGAATTTTACATTTAAGTAAAGTTTAATCTACTGAATTGATCTAAAATGCTTTTACATTTAAAGTTTTACAAGTAAGGTTGTTGTTTCATAATAACATACAGGTATTATATCTTTTAAATTGCGTGTTATTTACAGCTGCTATTTGTCCAGGAAAGAATTTCCCAGCAAAATATGTAATACACGTGAACAGTCCAAGCTGGGGGTCGTCTAACTCACAGCAGCAGCTAGACACTGCTACTAAAAATGTTCTCAAATTAGCAGACGAGAAAAATTTGAAATCTGTAGCACTTCCATCTATAAGTAGTGGAAAGTAAGTGAATACTGTGAGGAAACCGTATTATAAAAGTTATCAATGCTAATGAATGAGCTAGGCTCATTTGTTTTAGAAATAAGAAAGTTAGTTTTCAAGATTTTTGAATGAGCATAACAAAAATTGATGACTTGTATTGTATGTGAAAGAAGCATTCATTAACATTGATAACTTATGTTTTGTGAATTCTCATGGCATGCTAGATTTTGTGATATTTCCCATTATGTGATGTTTGAATTTCTGGAAGAAATGAATTTGCATACTTGCTTGTAATCTGGATTTTTTTAATTTCGGGCAAAGAGTAAAACAAGGCAAATGTCAAAACATGACATGAATTTTCAAGAATTATGACAAACATAGTTCTTATATTCAAACATCTGAGGTTAATGTCACAAAATTAAGTGTGGTATACCTTAAATCATAAAAAAGTATTGCTTTACTTCATTTTTTCATTCTTTCAATAGCTGCTATATGTGCTGGGCACAATATTCCTGCTAAATATGTAATCCATTGCAACAGTCCTTCATGGAGTGCTTCAAATCCTGCTGAACTATTAGATAAAACTGTGAAAAACTGTCTTAAGTTAGCAGATGATAAAGATCTAGGAAGTATAGCTCTACCATCTATTGGCAGTGGCCGGTAGGTTTTCCTGCTTTGCATGGCTTTTTCATAATTACATGTTTCTGTGATGGAACAGTGTTAACTTTGATATCTTACACACTTACACAATTGTTTGGTTCAGTCATACAATGAGTAATTGAATAAACATATATATTTCTAATAATAAGAGATGTAGCAGAAAAAAAATTAACTTTCTTCCTGCAGCTGGAAACACAATATTCAACTCTTTTTACAAACACTTGGAATTTTACTTCCATCGAAAAACATGAGAACACAGTTAGATGTTAGAAATGTTTTGCCTTGAGGAAATAGCTTCTCAGCTGTCTTCTTTGACTTTTATCTAATAGACATTTTTTGGAAAATATGAATGTTTCTAATAATATGGAAAATTTGAATCAAAATTTTACATTAAACTAGAAATTTTCTGTGTCATGATATCATGATTGGTGCCACAAACAAAAATATGTGGAATGAAGACACTGGATGTTGTATAGATGAATAACCTCAGAAGTTGGTCCCAAGTTGTAAAAGTTATTTATATTCCTAACCCTGTAATTAACGTTCATTTGCTATAAATCATTTTATACATTTTGGCAAGAAAGTAACTTCATTATTACTGTTTCTGTTATGTATTTGTATTGTTTAGTACACAACTTGTAGAATATTTACCATCTTTTGTAAGATCTAACTGTATGTAGAGCAGGCAAGTTGTCTGTTTTAAATCTTTCCAGATAAAATGTATATTGTAGTATCACACATTTACAGTATCATTTAGGCCAAATAAAATTTTCCTTCAGTGTAGATGTATTTTGTAATAGTACTGTCCTGACATTGTTAGTTTTGTAAAATGATATTTAACCCTTTCACTGCATACAAGATTGGTATACCTTTTCTTGCATTCTTTCTTTTAAGGTAGTGGTGTTATAATTATACATTTTGTGAAATCCTAGCTTCCCCAATTATTTAGTGGAGGGAGGAAGGGGGCCATTTAGAGTTTACTTGTCAGGGCAAACATCCAATTGTATATGAGCTGCATTCTGTCCCTAATCTTAGTAAGAAAAAACCTGTTGGTTTAAGAGGAAATTTTCACTGGTTTATGTGGAAAAATGCCATATTATGTTGTGTCTGTTTGTACCACTACCCACACTCACTCTGGTGACATTATCAAATTAATGTCTGTTCATTCTGCACAGAGTGTACTTGTGTTGGAAAAAGATGCTTATGGTGGGAAAAGACTCCGGAAGAAAGTCTGTGCCCTGTCCCTCCGTAGAACAACAGTGGAATGTGTGGGTATCTGTATCCTATGGAAACATTTCTAGTTTACTTCAAATTCTAAGAATTTTTAGAAACTTCCCTAGTAATACATCATGATCATGCAATAAAAGCTCTGGAAATGAAAGGGTTGAATGTTATACCATTAGCACATATGGAATTATCTAAATTTTGGTTTTGTATTTTCAGTGCTGGATTTCCAAAACAAACAGCAGCACAGATTATTTTGCGAGCAATCAGCAACTATTTTGCATCAAGCATGTCAAGCTCTATCAAGCAGGTTTATTTTGTTCTCTTCGATGTTGAGAGTGTCACTGTATACACTACAGAACTTCAGAGACTTGATTCATAAACTATCCACTACCTTTCTGCAGATGTAAATGGCTGAATAATCACAACTCTCAGAGCTATTCACTACCATCTGCAAATTTTGTAGGTTTTAAAATGTCATTTACTATCCATTAGTCTCATTTACTGAGACATAACTGACAATAACTCAACAACAAATTTCATTGGTTGAGAAAGAAATGTTAAACTATATGTTAGTATTTTAATTTTTTTAAAATGGTCATTTGATAGCATACATGTATTTATAATATATTTGATGTGATGTTTATAGAAAAACCTGTTTTTAGTTATTGTTAACTTTATGTTTGATAGACATTCTAGTGTGGTTTGTTGTTTAAAAAAACATTGTTAAATATGAAAAATAGGACATCTGTATAACTGTAGAATAAATTATAGCAAATGATTATAAATGTTAAGAGAACAAATTTATTTAAACTAAAGAAACTTAGTAATGTGCCAATCAATTTTTGAATTGATTTTTAAAGTGATGTTTTTAGTTTTGTTTTTTGTTGTTTTTTTTCTTCAAAAGCATTTAAAAGAAAATAACAGAAAATCTTGAATCTTGATTTTTTAAGTTGCTGTAAGAATATATTGTAACAGGTGAAAATTATTCCTGTAGGCTGAAATAGCCTACATGTTTATATTTCAATTATACCATTAAATATAATACCCTTTTTTGCAATACATGTATTTTATTTCTAGAAATGCTGATTCTAGCAGAACATTAATATTTATACTTTAATGAAATCTTATTAAATGTGTCTTTTTTACTTAAAAATCATCTTTCTATCACATTTTATATAAATCATATTTTAAGTAAAGTTATATACATCTACTTTCATGTTATTGATTTTTAGATATTCTTCTTGTTAAAATGTAAGAATGTCATAAAAATAGTTACACTGAGATTATAATTTCTATATTGTATCTTTGTTTTGACACAATACATTTGAGCCGCGTCATGACAAAACCAACATAGTGGGTTTGCGACAAGCATGGATCCAGACCAGCCTGCGCATCCGCGCAGTCTGATCAGGATCCAAACTGTTCGCTTTCAAACTCTATTACAAGTAGCGAAACTGATAGTGAACAGCATAGATCCTGATCAGACTGCACGGATGTGCAGGCTGGTCTGGATCCATGCTGGTCGCAAACCCATTATGTTGATTTGGTCATGACACGGCTCATTTATAGTTGTTGGGATTATACATCTGTTCTGTTTGTTAAATGATGATGATATGAACAATGTTGGATAATAAGATGCAGGAACCTGTACAAGGTTATAAACATTTTCATAATTTATCAACTTTAATCTGTAACCTACAGGTATGACCTTGATATGATACATTGTCTTTAACTAGATTGATGTTAAAATATTGTCTTTATTATCTATATATTATATAATAACTCTAAACATTGTACCAGTATACTTTATGATACATGTAAAACAACACTCATGAACATTAAGATACTGACAACTGGTCACTATACATAAATAAAAATATTGATATGATCTAAGCTATGATATTTAATTCTTTAGTTGAACAATTTTAGCTGTGTATGTGCAGGAAACAAATGCCATTTTGAGTACATTTTATATAATTATAATTATTAATTCAATAAATGTACACCTTAAACATAATACGAAACTATGATGGTTTTTTTAATATATATATTTTTTGTTCTCGACATTTGAAAATACATATTTGAAAATATATATACTTCTATTTTTAAATACTTTTTACTGGTTATTATTTGAAAATTTCACCATTACATATAACAGGCATTTTCTTTTAGTATCTGACATGATTTTACAGTTCATATGGGTAGTATTATTATAGCGACATTTTAAGACAATGTCCAAGGTAGAAAATCATAATGAAAATATGTGTTACTTGTCAAGACATTAGATGATGTATTATCACATGTTAAGTTTATATAATATGTATTAAGTTTATAAACATTGCATAATCACTGCCAGATAATATAACATTACATGTTTTAATGAAATTGCTGTTTAAAATAGAAAATCATAATTTTTTGTCTCAAAAAATTGAAAATTTGAAAAAGATGGCTGTTTAAAAGAGAAAATAATACGGTAGATTTACATGTATTCACAAAAAATGAAAGAGTAGCAAGTTTTATTATAAAGATTTATATGCTTAATTGTTGTGTATTATTATCATATGAATTTTTAACTTAAGAATTTTTTAACCAAACACATATGTGTATTAATCTTTGACAACATAAGGAAGTGAAATTTTGCTAAATGAAATTTGTTTCAGTGAAATAATGTTATCTGAAAGTTATCTATAAGTAAAGGAAAATATTTGATAGTCATTTATAATGGCAGCTCTTGATGGAGATTTCTTTACATTTATGAATCTGAAATGTGTGTTTGATTAGTTCTGTTGTTGAAAGAAATATTAGTATTTATTTTACATTATTTGTATGTTGTTCTTTTTAAAGGGCACAATAATTGTAATTGGTCATTTCTGTGCTTTAGCTTTATTTTAGATTATTCTTAAATATATTTTAATTATTTTTGCATTATTTGTGTCGTGTGGAAGCTTAAAATAATCAGTAAACTTTTTTTATTTCCGTCTTGACATAGCTTGTTCTTCTACATGTGTGTTTGTGCATGACTTTTGTAGACATATATTAAAGTGATTTGTCTGTTAACTTTTTTCTGAATAATTCATATAAAAATACATATAAATGATAACACACTTTTTGTATGGTAACTTTTTGACTAGATTATTGTAATTTCATATTTTTAATAAAATTTTTGCAAATTGTAGAAAATCAGAGAGGAAATTTTGCTATCTAATTCCATCTACACGTATTTATCAAACAAATAAAATAGTATTGGGTGTAGTAAAAAGGTAACATTTAGTCAAAAGAGAACATTAAAATGGCACTGTATTGTTGACTTAAAAGCTTTTAATATCTAAAAATGATAATTTTTATACACAAATTTTTAAATATTGTTGGAGTTTACTCCATTGTTAGTGATACTGTCTGTTAGAGTTGTTCCCCTTGTTAGTTATTGAGAGTTGTTTCCCTTGTCAGTTATTGTACGTGCACAGAGTTGCAGCTGTTGTTGAATGGTCCATATACTTGTTATTGTGCTTATTAGAGATAACCCTCTTCCTTGTTAGTGATAGCATAGTGTGATAGATATTATTATTTTTTCCTTATTTGTGATATCTTAATAAGATGAAAGAGCTGATGTTGAGCTTCCTATGTTACACAGAAATAATACAACAAAAATAAAATGGAAAGGTTTTAGACCAGTAACTGACTCAAGACATTATTTTTATAAAATTTGTAAAAAGGTTTCATCTATATCAAAGAAAATGATAAATTGTAATATTTTCAGCTTGAGCCTGTATACAAAGAACTGTTGTTGTCATTTGGCTGTTGGCTTGTCATGAATGCTAAAATATTAGGTGCATATAGATAAACAGTGGTGTTTTGTTACCTTTAATATATATATATAAATCAAATTTTGGTTCAAAGATTAGCACATAGGAGATTGTATAAATGTCTCTACTTTTTTTTAAATGAATATCAAATTTCTACATTATTTTAAACATAACATTCAAACCATCAAAACATGACATGCATTTTAATCATGTTAGTACATAAAAGCTTACAGAAACCATTTATCAGATCAATGTGCCATTTATTCTTCAACAGATGACACCATAAACATGCAACAACATTCATTCATGTTATTTTGAGTAAAGTCAGAGTATATTCCATCTAAATGATCATTGTTTTTCAACGTAATGTCATCAAATGATCAATAATTGTCAAAATTTTCTATCAAATATTCATTTTTTTGTCAGAGTTTGTCATCAGATGATCATTATCCTCAAATATAGAAAATTTTGCAGTCAAAATGATCATTGTTTTTAGACTTTGTCATCACAATGATGAATAAAATCATTTTGTAAGAATTTAGAATAAGAGAATCAGTATTATCTGAATTTGTCACCAATTTGTCAATCAATATTTGTCAGAATTTCCATCAAATGATCAATATTTGTCAGAATTTGTCATCAGATGATGAATATTTGTCAGACTTTTTCATCAATATGAATTTTTCATCAAATGATCGATATTTGTCAGAATTTGTCATCAAATGATCAATATTTGTCAGAATTTGTTATCAAATGATCAATATTTGTCAGAATTTGGCATCAAATGATCAGTATTTATCAGAATTTGTCATCAAATGATCAATATTTGTCAGAATGCTTCATAAAACATCAGCTCCATTTTTATCGACTACTTTTTCATCTTGTGATTAATTTTTCTTTCACCCTGTAGTATTACAGTGGAAATAAACAGTGTAAAAAAAGGTGTGTTATGTTATATTTAGACTGAAGAATATTATCAGATGAATTTCTTTTACACATGTCCAATTATCACAATTGTACTGTTGTAACTGATCAATTCTACATAAACTTTACCCTACTGGAATCAAAAGTGATAAGCCTTTGCCACCAGCATAGAGCCAAGCCAGCCTGCATTTCTTTACCGTTGGCTGACAAACTTCAAATTTTCATTTTGATCTTCCCAAAATTGTTAATTGACTGTTCCCAAAATAAAAGCTGCACTAGTCCATGTTAGAAATCTTAAATACATGTATTATGCTTTGTAAAAAAATTGCTTCATCAACAGATAACAATTATTATGTAAAAAAATGTTTGTAAGTATTTTCCGCAACAGTTCATTTGTAGGTGTTTAAACCCAGAAGCTGTCCAGATTCTCAAAGTCTAGTTTTAATTCTTTAACATTTGTTGTGTCTTGTGTTTGTAGGTTTATTTGCCTATGACTTGTTTGTCTGTATGATGATATACAGCAAACACACAGTCTTCTACCTAATGCTCTCATATCATATCTGAAATCTGTTTTCATCAAATAGAATACAACAATTTTAACAGCATTACTTAGATATAAACATCCATACGAGATAACCGACAGTGTACGAAGGTCCATGGAATCAAGTTTAATCACATCAAAACGTGTTAGAAAAGTTACTAACACAGGGATGTTAGCAATAACGTGAATCAGGTTAACACTGATGATCAACTTTGCCGTGCTTTTAATATTTCTTGTTAGAATTCTGTGCACTTGTGTAGAACATCTCATTTTCACAAAGTTTAACAAGAATAATAACATCACAGATTGTGAATAATATGACTGGGAGTGCAACATAAAATCCTATACTTGACAAATATGTTAAAATCATCAAAGTACCCGACTGCTGCATATTTTTAACATTGCAGTATTTTAAACTTTTTCCTTGTCTATTTATAGTAACAAGATCAGCAGCCAGACTTATTGGAATGTTCAATCCTGCCAGCAAAAGTATTATTATTCCACAGATAATGACCGCACATCTAGTTTTATTACTCCGATGGTAAAATTCAACGGGAAAGCACAAGGCCATTGCACACTCTATTGTCATGGCAACTGAAACCCAAACAGATAACTGTACTCCAAAGTATGTTGTAAAATCATAAACTTGCACATCAAGTCATTTTGTGTGCGTAACTGTATAACGTTGTCAGGGATGAATTTAGCAGGCTGTCAAGTGCCAGGTAGCAGAAGAACAAAGAGATCACAAGCTGGAAGGATTTTGAAATAAATTGCCAAGGTGCTATTTCTACACCTTGTACCTGTAGTCCATATTAGTATAGATATAATATTTCCAATTGTTCCAATACTTATGACAATGCACAAAATAACAAATGTTAAAACATAGAAATCTTTAACATCCATGTTTACTCCTCGTTCACTATATACAAAATGTATATAAATATAAACCAGCTACAAATATATTTTAGTTACAATGATCATTAATTTCAACATTAACATATTTTATAATAAAACTCATTTTCTTTTATCATTTACTGAACAAAACTTCAGTAAAATTAGTTAATCACACAAATATTAACTATAAACCAGTTGTTTTTTCATTGTAGATGTTAAAAGTTACCATTATTCTATATAAAATTTTCTGACAAATGTAACATAGCTTTTATCAAATGATATACATACACATATATATGAGTAGGAGTGAATTATTCAGTTCATGCATATTAACATAATGCAGCAATAAATATCACAAAGGTCTCTTGGCAATTATATTTCCTGTTATAATTTCACATTTCTAGCAGACAAACTGTATGTAGATCTACCTCATTATTTTTACATAAGCAAAAGTCACATAAATATATACTTGGTCCTTGATCAAACATAAACTTCTCAAAAAAATTGATGTATTTTGACAGAGAATATATCTATGTCTCTGATTTTGATTTGTTATGGTCTTTGTTCCTACTTTGATGTTAGGGTAACCAGTAATAGTGCTCTACTTAAACTTGACAAAGAATAAAATATTAGTCAAGTTTATTACATAAAGTGACACTGTCACCTTGACCTAGTGACCTCAAAATGATTTAAGATCATCTCCTGGCAATGGGCAATATCCCTACAGATTTTAACAAAAATGCATAATTCTTCTCAAGTTATTGATTGGACAAAAATTATAAATAGATATTGATTGGACAAGAATTATACATAAGTGCTAATTTGACCATGATCTTTGACCTAATTGCCTTAAAATTGATAAAGTCATTTACTGGCCAAATGCTGGAATGTTCCTGACTAGTGACATGAACCACACAGTGTTTTGTGTTTTAACAAGGAGTTTGCATGAACTGTCACTGTGAAATTAAACTTCAACAGCAAAAATCAAGATGGGTAATCTACTGGCCATGAGCAATGTCCCTTCCAAGTTTCAAAACATGGTTAATTCATTCAAACAAGGGTTTTACATTAACTAGCACTGTGACCTTGTCCTTTGACTTCAAAAAATGTAGCAATCAACTGGGCATAGGCAATGTACTTACCAAGTAATATGAGCCATAGCTTATTCCTTTTTAAGTTAATGATTGGACAAGTATGGGTTTTATATAAAGTGTCACAGTGAGATTTACCTTTAAATAACGATCTCAAAAGCAATAGAGTGTAATCTAATGGTCAAAGGCAATGTCACAACAAAGTTCTACAAAAATAGGTTAATTACAAAGTATTGCTTGGACAGGGATTTTACACCATGTGCCATTGTCCTAATGACCTCACAGTTATAAGGGGATCATTCAGTGGCCATCAGCAATTGTCCTTATTTAGTAACACAAACCACAACTTGTTCCTTCTCAAGTTATTGATCAGGCAATGATAATAGGACATATGGGTGGGATCACCCACAGTATGCTCCTCACTTTTTTAAGCAGAGATGTAAAAAATATAGTTCATCTTGTCTAGATTTGATAGCTATACATTACATACGATTCATATGTATTATGACCATATGATTGCTGCAGCCTCATTTAAAATAAATAAATGATCTGTTCTGTTTATGAATGCTTCTAAATAAATAGCAATAAAAATCATACAAAGTTTCATTGTAAAATCGGCAAATAATTACAAAGAATCTTTTTTAAATGATTTTCAGTACACATAATTGCTTCCTAGTTTTTTAAGGGTGAAAGTGTTGTTTCGCCTTATGAACTATATTTACCATGTAACCAGGTCATATTGTTGTATGATATTTTGTTCATTAAGTAAGTGATTCTATATAATTTTTTATATATTTGTTTCAGCATTATGTGACATAAGTAAAATTCAAAAATTTATATCAACTTTTCTAGGACTACCCTGTCATATGACAAAACATAGACAT